GCAATTTATTTATTATTGGTTTTGAGGCAGGGTCCTGATGTGTAGCCTTGGCTGACTACTACTCACCATGTAGCCTAGGCTAGCCTCAAACTTGCAACAATCCTCTTTCCTCAGCAGTCCCAGCATGGGCCGGGGGTGCTGGCATTTGCTTATTTATTTATTATTACACAAGGCCTCACTATACTACGGAGCTCTGGCTGGCTTGGAACTCACTTTGTAGACCAGGCTGGCCTTGAAATCACAGAAATCCACCTGCCTCTGTCTCCCAGTGCTAGGATTAAAGGTGCGTGCCACCATGGCCGGCACCAACATTTATTTTTGAAGATTTTCTTTATATTACTTAAACTATGTATAGTTTCGTGTGTCTGTGTGTGTGTGTGTGTGTGTGTGTGCGCGCGTGCGTGTGCGCGCACGCGAGGGTGCGGTATGTACATAAGAGGATGGCTGCAGAGGCCAAAGGCATTGGATACTCCTGGAGCTGGAGTTGTGAGCTGCTTGCTACTGAACTTGGGTCCTTAGGAAGAGCAATACATGCCTTTTAATGTCTAATCCATCTCCCGAGCACCGCCAGGAGCACTTCTCAAATGGCAGCATCTCCTGCTGGGCACTGGGGGACAGGAGGGTCAGGATGAAGCGCTGCCCTGAAGGTTCTGAGGTCTCTGAAGTGCACAAAGTGGGGTGCTGTGTCAGGGGTGACAGGAGAGCTTCCTGAACACAGGGTGCTGAGGCTGAAGCTGACGGAGGCAGGAATTTCCCAGCAGCAGCGGGATGTTGACAGCCCTCTGCTGGCAGAGAGCCCACGGGTATGCCCAAAGCCCTGGGTTCCACCCTCGCACTGCATGAACTGTGAACTGTAGCACACGCTTGTAATCCCAGTGCCGGGGAAGTGGGGGGCACACGGAGCACACAAAGATAAGCATCACGCAAACAGCAGCACACTAAACTGCTTCTGCAGCAGAGACACTAAAAGCAGAGCGACACAGCCTACCGGGGTCCTGTACGGTACACACATATTTGTGAAGCATTCCATATAAAATATTTTTTTCAAATGCACGTCTTCAGCAGCATTAAATTAATTCACACTATTATGTAGCTATCATCATCCTCCAAACCCAAATGTTCCATCATTTTGGCCTGGAACTCTGAGTTACAGTTCTAGTTCAGTGTTCTATTGCAGTGACGAGACACCATGGCCACAGCAACTCTTTTTTTTTTTTTTTTTTTAAGATTTATTTATTATTTATACAGTGTTCTGCCTGCACACCAGATCTCACTGTAGGTGGTTGTGAGCCACCATGTGGGTGCTGGGAGTGGAACGTAGGACCTTTGGAAGAGCAGCCAGTGCTCTCAACCTCTGAATGATCTCTCCAACCCCCATTCCATATATTTTCAAAAGGGTGTGTTTTAAAAGATAAATGTACACGTTTTCCTTCAGATTCTATAGATTAAGACAGGATTAATTTTCAGGACAGCCAAGACTACACAGAGAAACCCTGTTTTGAGAAAGAAAGAAAGAAAGAAAGAAAGAAAGAAAGAAAGAAAGAAAAGAAATGAAAAAGAAAGGAAGGAAGGAAGGAAGGAAGGAAACAAACAAGAAAAGAAATGAAAAACAAAAACAAAATCAACCAACCAACCAAACAAACCAAACAAACAAAAAACCCGAAAGTATAGAAGGGATAAGATGAGAGAGAGGAGCAAATGTACAGAACTAAGGTCCAAGTCTTGTTGTGAAGTGCTTCATCTGTTTATCATTTTGTTTATAGACAGGGTATCATGTAGCCCAGGCTGGCCTCAAACTCCCTCCATAGTAAAAGATGACCTTGAACTCTTGATCCAACATGTTAGAATTACAGGCTTGGCAGCCAAACCTAGCTATTTTATTTTATTTTATTTTATTTTATTTTATTATTTTATGTGCATTAGTATGAAGGAATCAGATCCCTTGGAACTGGAGTTACAGACAGTTGTGAGTTGCCATGTGGGTGCTGGGAATTGAACCCAGGTGTTTTGGAAGAGCAGCCAGTGCTCTTAACCACTGGGCCATCTCTCCAGCTCACAACTGTCTGTAACTCCAGTTCCGGGGGATCTGACACCCTCACACCAAGGCACATAAAACTAAATATTTTTAAAGTCATGTTTATGATGGCTCAGCAGTTAAGAGCTATAGTCACACTTCCAGAAGACCCAGATTTAATTTCAGCACCCACAGGGCCGCTGACAAAGGTTTGTAACGCCAGTCCCAGCGGAAGCGGATGCTTCTGGGGGCATTGCATGCACACGGTGCGCAGGCACACACGCAGCCAAAACACGCACACGCTTAAAATAGAGTATCTTAAAACCTGGCGTGTTACGGCCTGGGAGTGCCGCTCACAGGCAGAGCGCTTGCTTCACGGTTTGCTCTCCGCCTGTTAGAGCTAGATGTGCAGAAGCACACGTGTGTGAGCCCAACAATCTTTGACAAAATTTTGAGAGTCGTGGCTCTCCTTTCATTCCAGCATCCATGAGAGACAGAGTAGGATGGCTGCTTCTCATCCAAGGTCAACCTGAGTCACACAGGAAGACCCTACCTCAAAACAACAAAAACAAAGCTGAACGTGCTGATTTACCGGGAACAATGGCCTGAAACTATAATCTCACCATCTGGGAGCTGAGACAGGAGGAGCCTCGTTACATGTGAAGCAGATGGAGACCTCCTTTCTTACTCTGTCTCTCTCCAAGAAAGAGAGAGAAAGAGAGAAGAAAGAACGAACAGGATCTGGTGACACATGACAATAATTCTAGCACTAGGGAGACAGAGGCAGGGATTGCTGTAAATTTCAGACCAGTCTGGTCTATATAGCAAGCTCCAGGCCAGCCAGGACTACATAGGGGATCCCATTTCAAACACACCAAAACTCAAAATAACGAATGGAATTATACAGTCCTCTGACAACTGAATTACATCAATTGAAAATATAGTTGATTTAGTATATAATGGATTCCCCTCCTCCTTAAGCGATATGAAAATACAGCTCAGGCTAATCTTGAACGTGAAATGTAGCAGAGGAGGATGACTTTGAACTACATTCCTCTGCCTACGCTTTCCAAGTACTAAGGTTATAGGGAAGTGCAACCATGCCTGGCTTTCTAACTCATTTTATAAACCCAATAAGGAAAATGAGCAGTTCTTAAATGTTGCATGCAGGACAGAGCGCACCAAAACCCCAACCAGCCAAACAGCCTACCAGCCAAACAACCAGCCAACCAACAAATAGCCACGCAAGCAACCGGCCAATCAACCAGGCAACCAGGCAGTCAACCAGCCAACCAGCCAGCCAAACAACCAACCAACCAGCTAACCAACCAACCAGCCAGCCAACCAACCAACCAACCAACCAACCAACCAACCAACCAACCAACCAACCAGCCATCTAACCAACCAGCCATCTAACCAACCAATCAGCCAACCAGCCAGTCAGCCAACCAGCCAGTCAGCCAAACAACCAACCAGCCAGCCAAGAAATAGCTAAGCAACCAAACAACCAACTAACCAACCTACCAACCAAACAGCCAACTAACCAACCAACTAATGAAACAGCCAACCAACCAACCAACCAACCAACCAAACAAACAACCAGCCAGCCAGCCAGCCAGCCAGCCAGCCAGCCAACCATCCAACCAACCAAACAACCAACCAACCAACCAACCAATCAGCCAAACAACCAAGCAACCAAATAAGAATGAGGCAATTATAGAACCAAGGAGATTATGGCAGGCTGGGGCAAGAAAGGCAGACGTGACTGAATTCCAGATGTTTTGGGGAGACAAAAGGTAACTTAGGTTGCACTGGGGTTAGGATGAGAGGGAAATGTGGAAGAGGCGGGGGGGGGTATGCCTCAGAGGGTGGCACACTTGTAATTCCATCCCATGAGAGAGGCTGAGGTAGGGAAGCTGCTGTCATGGGCTACACAGTGAGGCCCTATCTCAAGAAAAACAACAAAAGGATGCTCTAGGTTTTTGTTTTGAGCTTGTGAGAGATTAGGAAATCTGTCTTTCCCTCAGGAATGGTTCTTCGCTTTCCACAGGCTGTTAGGTAGAAGCTGGCAGTATTGAGGCGTGGCACTGGGGTCAGCGGCACTTCCTTCTTTTTCTGAGTTTGTTTTTGTTTTTTCAGACAGGGTTCTCTGTGTAGCTGTGACTGCCCTAGATCTCACTCTGTAGACCAAGCTGGCCTCAGACTCAGAGATTCGTCCTCCAGAGTGCAGGGATTAAAGGCCTGCTCCACCACCACAAGGCTCTCTATCTCTCAAATTCTCTGAGAAGCTAACCCTGTCCTCAAATTCTGAGTCTCTTCTTCTTTCAAGCTCTGGATTAGACAAGAGCCAGCTGTAGGCTACTACTGCCTTTAAAACAACAACAAAAACCTAACGTACTGTGCTCTCAAATGTACTGTAACCTCAAACTGACAGCTCAGAGCGCTTGCTTCTCACACTGAATTCAGTTCCCAGCACCCTCGAGGCGGCTCACAACCACCAACTTCGGTTACAGGGGATCCCATGACCTCCGAGGTTATCCGGCAGGCGCGTGTTGAGCATACACTCTGGCAGAACACTCAAACACAAAAATAAATTAATAGCAAATCCAGCCGGGCGCTTTGGTGCACACCTATAACTCAAGTGCTCGGGAGGCAGAGGCAGGCGGATGGCTGTGAGTTCGAGGCCAGCTGGTCTGCAAGAGTCCAGGACAGCCAGGGCTACACAGAGAAACACTCCTCGAAAAATCAATCAATCTACATAAAACAGAGAACCAGCGAGAGCCTATCCCGGCTCAGGGGTTTGCTGGCAGCTGGCCCTGCCCCGGCCTCGCCCTAAGCAGCGATTCTGGTCTGTTTGCCTTTTTCCTCGCCCCGTGCTTTCCGAAGGCTCCGCCTAGTGGCCGCAGTTTAGTTGGACCACAGCGATTGACAAGTCAGTTCTCCAATCGTGCCGAGTGACCGCGTAGTGTCACAGGGCCACAGGGGCGGTGCAGAAGCAGAGCATGAATAGGGGTGAGCAGGAAGTGCGAACCCAAACAGGGAAGCAGGACAGGAGCAGGCCCGGCGGTCGTGGAAGGTGACAGGCATCTGCCATCCTAGAGTCCCTTCTTTCCTCTTAGCTGGGCCAGGGGTGCGCTTAAAGCTGGGAACTAGGCGCTCCGTTTGCCCTTTCTTTGCTCTCTCTCTCTCTCTCTCTCTCTCTCTCTCTCTCTCTCTCTCTCTCTTTCTCTCTCTGTTCTTATCTAACCCTTTGGGGACCTGGAGTGTCCTTCTCTTCGCTCCACTTCAGGGGTGGCCCGGGTGGGACCAGGAGCTTAGGCCCCTCTCTCACTGCGGATGGTTAAAGGCCTCCGGTTCCTTTCCAGGAAAATGGGGGCAGAGTTAGCCGCCAGGTGAGGCAGTCAAAGCGGGAGGGGCCCGGGAGCAGCATTCCTGAGGTTCAGAGGGTTCAGGGACCAGGCTGCGAGGCTCTCAGGGTGCTGCAAGGAGGAAGGAAACTTGCCCTGGTTTGGTTCGGTTTGGCTTTTTGACACAGGGTTTTGTCTGTGTAGCTCTGGCTGTTCTGGAACTCTCCCTTTAGACCAGGCTAGCCTAGAATTTGGGGACCCGCCTGCCTCTGCCTCCTGAGTGCTGTGAGGTCGCAGTAGTGCTATCAGTGAGAGCGGAGAGAGGCGGAGGCTGGAGGGTAGGGCTCTAGAAAAACCCCTTGCCTTCCCGGGATCTTCAGGTGTTTATCTCTTTTGCTTCCTAGGCTGACCTAGCACCTGGTCATGTGGAACCCTAGTGCTGGTAAGTACCTGGGCTCTGCTCTGCCCACCCCAGCTCGTTTTGCAATGAAACAGGAAGTTTCTGTATCTACCCCACAACCCCAAGAAAAAGCAAAGTCATTGGACCACTGCTGCCGCCCTCTGCCTTCCACAAGCGTTAAGAAAAGCAGTAATTTTTGTTATTTGTTTACAGAGGTTCTGGACAGTCCTAATCTTTATTCTCTGGTTCTCCCTCCAGGGCCAAATCCATATCCGCCCCATGCCGTGTGCCCAGGAGGTGCCAATCCTGTCTGTCCACCACCTGTCAATCCTGCCTTCCCTCCTGGCCCCTGCCCTCCAGGAATTCCCCAGGGAAACCCAGCTTTCCCTCCATGCCGGCCACCTTACCCGGTACCACAGCCAGGGTGTCCAGGGTATCAACCTTCAGGTCCCTACCCTCCCCCGTGCCCACCTCCTGCTCCTGGCATGTGCCCTGTGAATCCTCTGGCTCCTGGCATGGTAGGCTCAGGAATAGTGATAGACAAGAAGACTCGGAAGAAAATGAAGAAAGCTCACAAGAAGATGCACAAACACCACAAGCACGGGAAGGTTGGTGACCTCGGGAGGATGAGGGATGAGCGGGGCTCGCAGAAGGGATTTTGTGGGCACGGGAGAGGGCTTACTCTGGCAGATGGCTTTTCTTTATGTAAAAGAATCCCCCTGAGAGGAATTTAACAATATCGAGGCATGGGACCTCCTATCTGAAAAGGGAAGGTCTTGGAGGCAATGAGCTCCAAAAGCGTTTTCCCTTTCTGTGCTCACTACCTTACCAGTAACTCCTGCTGTCTCCCCAACTCCAGCTGTACCCTTTGGCAAACTGGACACACCTGAGGTTGTGTATATGTCATTTGAGTCAGTCCTGTGACAAAGCAAAGCCACGTATAATAATTCACAGAGTGGAGATACGGCCCCAGTTCCTGGATTCCGTTTATCTCCTCCAGCGTTCCCAGGGTGCTGTGTTAGTTACCTAGGCGTTCCTCCTGTGACTCAGGAAGAACAAAGACTGGGGTAAAGGGAGAGTTTCCTTTACAGGACATCCTCCTTGCACAGAAATGCTGGTTGTTATTCGTGAGGGTGGGAGCTTCCCTGAGGACCTGGGATGAACACCAATCTTGAGGCTTTTATGCCCGATGTTTGCTTGGTGGGTTTGGGCTCCTAATTCTAGGTCTGTGGTAGAAATGTGAGCAGTAAGAAGAAAAGGAGACACTGAGTGAGAGAGAGGACACGGGAGAGTCTAAAAGTGTTTTTAATGGCAGTTTCTGGACTAAATCTGTATGGATCCTTGGATGGGATTTCTCCGCCGTCTGTCTCTCCCACCTTCCCCGCCTTTTCCCCTGGTGGGGCTTGGGAGTGCTGCAGCACCCGTTCAGCTGCCAGCCCTGTGTTCTCCTGGGTGTGTAGATTCTCCCTTGTTATCATTACTCACGCCTAATGAGTAGGGACTCAGAAAGTAGCAGCTGTTTTCTAGAACTGCTCATGCCACGTTCATTCCATGTTCCTGGCCTTGGCTAGGTGTGGGAAGTGAGAGTCTTGGCCCCTAGGCGACGTGTTCAGTTCTGTGCAGTGTGGACAGCGTGACCCAGGCCTGGACTCGCACTGCTGAAGGAAAGCCTTGATTTTGTTGTTTGTTGGGCAGGATGGTCTGAGACCGCGGCCTCCTAGCCGTTTGGGTGGAAGGGTGGGGCATCAAGAATGGCCCTTGGAGCGGTCAGGGTCATCTGATGCTTTGTCCTTTCCCCTTGCAGCATTCCTCCTCTTCCTCCTCCTCCTCTTCCAGCAGCGACTCTGACTGAAGGCAGGGTCTGGACCCTCCTCCCCGAGCAGCTCCACCCTCCATCAAGCTTCACTGTGGAGCAGAGGGGAATTAGCCCTCTGCTCCCTGCCCGGCTCCTACCTGTGCCTCCCCTGCTGGTCAGTGCTGGCTGTCTAGGGAGAACGGGAAGCAGGTTGCCAGCAAAAGCTGCCTTCTCCCTGCCTGGGAACACTGTGGCTGCTGAGGTCAGCGGGCAGTGGTGGTGGTGAGACCTTCACGGTGAACACAATTTTAAGATCTGCACGATGTGATTTTACTCGTTTTCTTTTGTAATACTTGCGATGGGGGTTTGTGAGAATCTGAGGGACACCTGTCCTTTTGCACTGGTACATTACGGTGATCTGGTGGCACCTGTACTCCCAGCAGGCCTTCGATTGATTGCGCTAGCCGAGGAGCTGCTGGGAGGCAGGGCCCCTCTGCTTGATGAGCTTCCGGAACCAAATCTATTCCTTCGTTCAACATGTCTCAGATGTCTAAATAAAAGCTTCTCTCCTGGCCTCTGCTCACCTGCGCCATTGCCTTGACTGGGCTCCACACCCTGGACTTTTGCTACCCTTGCCCACACCCTCCAAAGTGTCAGTGTCTTTCTCCCTCTGAGAGCCTCGCATCACCCAGGCTTCACTGTGTAATCAGGGTGACCCTGATGTAGGGTCCCCCTGCCTCTACTTTTGGCGTGCCAGCCTCACTCCCTCGAACCACACCCTGCTTATGGGCTTGAACTCTGACCCCGTGCCTGCCGGGAGGCACTTTACCAACAGAGCTACACCCCAGCCTGAAGTGGCATTTTTAGCAGTGAGGGGCGAAGCCTTCGGAATTGACGCTGGCATCGCAGACTCGATTGCACCGATCCCTGGATCCCTGATACAGACATTTCTTCATATGTTTTCATTTGCTACAAAGGTGTTTTTTTTTTTTTTTTTTTTCAAGACAGGGTCTCAGTATGTAGCCTTGGCTGTCCTGAATTCAATACGTAGACCAGGCTAGCCTTGAACTCACAGAGATCTACCTGCCTTTGCCAAGGCCTACGCCACCATGCCCAGCAGAGGTCTTCAATCCTTGCCTGATCATCAGCTTTAAGGGAGCAATTTAGGGTTCCGCCCTTAATCCACTGGATCAGACACTTTAATCATGTGTATATATATAATTTAAATCACATATATATAATCTGTATGGACAGGAGTTTGGTCTTGTGTCCATGTGCATTATGTGTGTGCAGTTCCTGCAGTAGCCAGAAGAGGGCGAAGGATCCTTTGGTACTGGCGTTACAGACCATTGAGTCTCTGGGGATTGAACCTAGGCCCTCTGGAAGGTCTTGCCTCCGCTTCCCAGGTGCTGTCATGATAAACCTGATGCACAGCACACACATGTGAAGAGGCTCAGCTGGGGATGGCGGTGGAGCATGCCTTTGACCCCAGCACTCTGAAGGCAGAGGCAGGAACATCTCTGTGAGTTCGAGGCCAGTCTGGTCAACAAAGTGAGTCCAGGACAGTCAGGACTGCACAGAGAAACCCCGTCTCAAACAAACAGCCCAGTAGCAGAATGCTTGCCTTGTCTGGACAATGTCCTGGATCTGATGGACCCATGTAGTCCAGACTCAAGCTCACCAAGAAGCCAAGGGTGAACAAGTTCCGAATCTGCCTGTGTCCACTCGGCTGGAGTTACAGATGCGTGCCGGCACGCCTTTTATATAGTGCTCCGGCCTAACCCAGGGCCTTGTGCATGGCAGGTAAATAGTCTGGCAACTGACCCACATCCCCAGCTAGGTGGTTTTAAAAAGTTTTATTACTTTTTACATTTTATTTATATGAACGCTCTACCACCTGCACGCCAGCAGAGGGCACCAGATCTCATTGTAGATGGCTGTGAGCCACCATGTGGACACCAGGAATTGAACTCAGGTCCATCTGGAAGAGCAGCCATTGCCCTTAACCTCTGAGCCATCTCTCTAGCCCCTCTTTTTAAGTTTTTAAAAGCATTTTATTAGTGTATTAGGGTTATCTAGAGGAATAGAATTTATAGAATATATATTATACACAAATATATTTGCATATATAAATAAATGTAAAATCATATATATGGGTTTTTTCAGAATGACTTATAGGTCCAGCTGGCCCATAACTCAACAATGGCTGTCTAGCAACAGAAGGTACAAGAATCCAGTAGTTCAGTTCATAAGGCTAAACAGTCTTCAGTGTACACCACAATCCTGAAGAAGTAGGCTGTAATGCCAGTGAAGGAATCGCCTTGGAAGAGAAAGCAAGCAGGCAAAAAGCAAAAGTGCCCTGCTTTCATGTCCTATATATTGGCTGCCACCAGAAGGTATGGCCCAGCTTAAAGTGAATCTTCCTGTCTCAAAAGATCTGGATTAAAAGTAGGTCTTCCCATTTCAAGTTATTTATTTATTTTGCTCTTTTGAGACAGGGTTTCTCTGTGTAGCCTTGGCTATCCTGGAACTCCCTCTGTAGACCAGGCTGGCCTGGAACTCACAGATCTGTCTGTCTCCGCCTCCTGACTGTTGGGATTAAAGGCGTACTCCATCACACTGGCTCCATTTCAAGTTATATAGTTTTTCTCACAAGTTGTACCCAGCTGTTTGGGATTTGGTTAATTCCAGATATAGTAAAGTCAACAAAGAGGAATGGCTGTCAACACACAGGCAGCTGAAGAGAAAGAATGCAGCCAATGGGAGCCTATTTGTTTTTATTGTTTCTAATGGTGTATGTAGATCTTGATGGCTTTGAACTCACTATGTAGACCAGGCTGGCCTCACACGGATCTGGTGGTCTGTCTCCAGAGAGCTTGAATGACAGGCATGGGCCATCATGCCTGGATGCAGGGTTGTTTGGGACAAGGTCTAGGCTGACCTTGAATTCATACTCCTTCTGTCTCAGCTGTTTGGATGCAGGAACTAAATATGAAACACTGCCATAAGCAGATCAAACAATCTTTTTTTTTTTCTTGTTATTTTTTTAATTTTTAGGTTTTTCGAGACAGAGTTTCTTTGTATAACCTTGACTATCCTAGACTCCTTTTGTAGACCAGGCTGGCCTCAGAGTCAGAGATCCCCCTGCCTCTACCTCCCGAGTGCTCGGATTAAAGGTGTGTGCCCCCACAACAGGCCCAGTGTGTCCTTGGCTATCTAGAGTTGCCTATGGACACTAGTTTGGGATTACAAGTGTGGCTGTCATTTTATTTAGTGTGTGTGTATGCATAGAGTAACACACACACACAAGCACATTTGAGACTTCAGGGGTCTTCCTCTATCTCTCTATTCCCTTGAAACAAGCTCTCTCACTAAACCAAAGGCACACCATATTGGCTAGGTGGACTGGCTAGTGAGGTCTCAGGATCCAAATTGGTTTAGGGACTGAAGGGTCTTTGTGCCTGTTAGGCAAGCCCTCACTGAGATACATGCTAGCTTTTTGTTTGTCCTGGTTTTGTTTTGAGACAAGTCTCTATTTATTTATTTAGGCTTTTTGAGACAGGGTTTCTCTGTGTAATAACCTTGGTTGTCCTGGAACTCTCTGTAGACTGGGCTGTCCTCAAACTCAGAGATTCTCCTGCCTCTGCCTCACATGCTGGGATTAAAAGCGTGCACTACCACTGCCCAGCTGGAGATGGGTCTCACTGTGTAGCCCTGACTGTCCTGGAACTCACTATGTAGCCTAGGTTGGCCCCAAACTAAGAGCTCCACCTGCCCTACCTGGGATTAAAGGTGTGGGCCACGATTGACCAGCCTCCCACTGGGCAGCCAGGCTGGCAAACGTGGATCTCCTGCCTCTGCCCTCGAGTGTCACTTTGTTCAGCCCATGTCCAATCTTAGTGACTACTTCGGTGAGAAAGGTTGGAAAGCTGGGAACCACTGGCTGCACCTGGCCAAGGCTTTGTCTACAAATGTCAGTCATTTCCTAATAATTTAGATCTTCAGCTGAAACTGTGGCATTTACATCTCTAAAAATGCAAGCTCTGGCTGTAGCTGTTGAGCCTTATATAAATGAGTCCTGGGGGCTGGAGAGATGGCTCAGTGGTTAAGAGCACTGGGTGCTCTTCCAAAGGACCTGGGTTCAATTCCCAGCACTCACAGGGCAGCTCACAATTGTCTGTAACTACGGTTCCAAGGGATCTGACACCTTCACACTAACACCCATAAAATAAAATTAAATGAATTATTTAAAAAATGAGTCCTGATCATAGTGTTCCCTACTTTCTGTTGGCTCCTCCCATTTCCGGTACTGGCCTGGTCCTGGGAGCACTGGGTTTGCAGCCCTGGCTCTGTGCATTGGTCCATACTTCCAAAGGGAATATTTCTCAAATGTGTTGAGTTTTATAAGATTTATTTCATTTACTCATCTTTTTATGGAGGGGAGGGGGCTTTTTTTTTGAGACAAGGATTTCTTTGTGTAGCCCTGGCTGTCCTGGAACTCTCTCTGTAGACCAGGCTGGCCTTGAACTCAGAGATCTACCTGCCTCTACCTCCCAAATACTGGGATAAAAGCCATGTCACTGCCTGGCTTATTTCATTTCTTTTAAGATTTATTTATTATTTATACAATATTCTGCCTGCATGTGTGCCTGCAGGCCAGATGTCATTGTGCCAGATGTCATTGTAGATGGTTGGGAGCCACCACGTGGCTGCTGGGAATTGAACTCAGGACCTTGGGAAGAACAGCCAGTGCTCTCAACCTCTGAGCCATCTCTTTAGCATTCTTTCTTTTCTTTTTTCTTTTATTTTTCAAGACAGGGTTTCTCTGTGTAGCCCTGGCTGTCCTGGACTCACGTTGTAGACCAGGCTGGCCTTGAACTCACAATGATCTGTCTGCCTCTGCCTCCTTGAGTGCTGGGATTACAGGAATGTGCCACTGTGCCAGGCTTGATTTGTTTCATTTTGTGTGTGTGTGTGTGACTGCGCACGCTCAGGTGCTCATATGAACTCAGCTGCACTTGGGGGCCAGCGGTGTCAGAGTCCTGGAGGTGGAGCCACATCAGGCAGTTGTGACCAACCTGATGGTGGTGCTGGGAACTGAACTCTGATCCTCTGCAAAAGGAGTATGTGCCCTTAACTGACAAGCCGTCCCTCATCCCTCTAGCTTCTCAGCTTGTACTTTTAGAGCTCTTGGGTTTCTTCTCCTTTTCCACATTTGGTGTAACCTTGCTCTACTTACTACGCAGTAAGAAGGCAAGAGCAAGACAGGAACACATACTTAATCCTGGCACTCAGAAGGAGTTCCAGGACTGCCAGGGCTCCACCATCCATCTGGCAAACGCTCATGTTCTTCCGGACATGCTGCGTGTGGTGCTTGCACACATAGGTGGACACTCGCACGCCTAGAAGAAAATCCGCTCTTCAAGAAAAATGCAAGTTGATAGTTTAGCTTTACGGACTATGATAATGGAATGAATCTTTAGTTTGCTGGCATTTTTGAATACTTTCCATCAATAAATATATTGTTTTCTGATCCTAGGCAAGTTCATCTATTTCTTCTTATTTTGTTTTTGTTTTTCGAGACGGTTTCTCTGTGTAGCCCTGGCTGTCCTGGAATTTCCTTTGTAGACCAGGCTGGCCTCAAACTCACAGAGATTTGCCTGCATCTGCCTCCCCAGGTGCTGGGATTACAGAGTGTGCCACTTCACCTGGCTTAACAAAAAACATTATGTCACTATTTTATTTGTGTGTGTGTTTTGCCTACATGTATTTCTGTGCACTGCATGCGTGTGTGGTACCCAGGGAGTCCAGCAGAGGGACCCGAAACTTCAGGACTGTGGTTGCGGGCCACTGTGAGCCACCTTGTGGTGCTGTGGATTGAAGTCCTCTGGGGAGCCGCCACTGCTCTTTCCTTGTTTTAAGATTTGTTATGTATACAGTGTTCTGACTGCGTGTGTGCCTGCACCCCAGAAGAGGGTGCCGGATCTCAGCATAGATGGCTGTGAGCCACCATGTGGTTGCTGGGAATTGAACTCAGGTCCTCTGGAAGAAATGCCAGAGCTTTGGTGCTCTTAACCTCTGAGCCATCTCTCCAGGCTCACAACCAGTGCTTTTAACCACAGAACCATTTCATTCCATCTCTCTCTTTAAAAAAAATTAATTTTATTTTATGTGTGTGTGTGTGTGCGCGCGCGTGCATGTGCATGTGCTTGCGTGTATGTGATGGTGCAGGTGTGGCAGTCAGAGGGTGATCAGGTAGTTTCTCCTTCCGTCGTGTGGGACCCAGCAGTTGAGGCCAGCCCCAATGCAGCTATTTGATCTTTGTTTTGCTCTACGCAGTGTAGATGACCTTGTGGACAGCGCTCCAGATGTTGGAGCCCCACTAGTTTGACTGGTTCACCTGCAGACTCTTGAGGCTAAACTTTCAGTTGAAGTAAGACAGTAAACTTGCTCCGTAATGTCTTTTTTTTTTTTTTTCCTGTGTTCTTAACATGGCCCTACTTCCTTTCCTTTCTGAATTTTCCCTTGACCAAATGGTAGGGTTTTTGTTGTTGTTTTTCTTTTTGAGAAGCTTCTCTTTAGAGAGTCCTGTCCTGGAGCTGCAGTTGAAGCTGGTCTTGAACTCACAGAGATTTTGCCTTTGCCTACTGAGTGCTGGGATTAAAAGTATGTAAGATGATCCCTGGCCTCAGATGATAACTTCCTGTTTTGCCGTATTTTCCAGCTGTCTTCACGATGCCACAAGGCACGGGCCGACGAGGCGCTCCTTGTGGGTCAATGCACCTGTGCCCATCAAAGCGGAAAATTAAATTCCCAGTAACTTTTTTTTCTGGGCAATGGTGGCACACACCTGTGATCCCAACACTTGGGCAACAGCAGAAGGTGGCAGATTTCTGCGTTCAAGTTCAGCCTGGTCTACAGAGTGAGTTCCGGTACATTCAGGGCTGCATACCCCTGAATGTCTCAGAACCCCCACCCCCACCTCCGTCTCTATGGTGGTTATGTGCACATGAAGTGTAGGTGCCCTAGGAGGCCTGAAGAGGGCGTCAGATCCTTGGAGCTGTAGCTTCAGGGAATTGTCACTAGTCTACTGGCAACTGAACTTGGCTCCTTTTAAAGAGTGAGTTGCCTTTTTCTGATTTTTAAGAGTGGATCGCACTATGTCCTGAAACTTGCTATGTAGACCAGGCTGACTCCAAGCAGATCTGCTGCCTCTACCTCCCATGAAATTAAAGGCATGTGCCCCCACTTTTCATAGCTTTACCTGTTGTTTGTTTTTTAATGTTTGTGTCTGGTTGCCATGGATGTGTGCATCAGTCGTATGCAAGTGCCTTGGAGTCCAGAAGAGGGCGCGGTATCCCATGAAATCGGAGCTATAGTGGGCGGAGACCCTGTGTGGGCGTTGGTAGTCAAACCTCCTGGAAGAGCAGTCTGTGCTTTTAACTGCTGAGACATCTTTCCCGCCCTAAGGGCCAGTAAGATAGAAAAGACATTTGCTGTCAAGCCTGGTGTCCTGAGTCTGACCTTAGGAACCCACTTGGTTGAAGACAAGAACTGACTCCTCTTTGGACTTCCTCACCTCTGCTGTGGTGTATCGTGTATCTAAAACATACAAAACAATATTTTAAAAAAGTTTCTTTAGCGGGGCGTGAGGGCGCACACCTTTAATCCCCGCACTCTGGGAGACAGAGGCAGGTGGTTCTCTGAGTTTGAGGCCAGCCCGGTCTACAGAGCCAGTCCAGGACAGCTAAGGCTACACAGAGAAACCCAGTCTCGAAAAAAGGAAAGTTTATTGCCTTTTTAAAGAAATCAGAATAGTTGTCTTGTGGAGTGTACAACATTCTGGGTTTTCAAAATGTCCTTAAAAAACAAAACAAAAAACAAAGCAAGAAAGCACTCGCCCCATGGTTCGACCTGGGATTGGACTGCTCCCTGAGAATGGCCACAGAATACATTCTTGTACTGACGTTGAACTTGTTCCTTTGTCCCTGCAGATGGCAAATGAGGTAAAATAGCAAGATGAACCGTTTTTGCTTTGCAGGAATTCTAGATTATACAGTAGTAAAATGCTTAGATACATTACAAAGTGAAGTGTGAGTGCTTAACGGTTCAGGCGGTGGCTTGTCAGGTGTCTCAATTTAAAGTTACTTTATTACTCTACGGCTTGAAAATAATCTGTGTTGTGATATTTGGCACCACAGTGACACTCTGTTCCCTAAGAACCTCCTCCTCCTCCTCCTTTTTTGGTTTTTCAGGAGAGCGTTTCTATGTAGCCCTGGCTGTCCCAGCCCTCGCTCTGTAGAGCAGTCCGGCCTTGGACTCAGAGATCTGCCCGATTCTGCCTCCCCAGTGTTGGGATTGAAGGCGTGTGCCACCACCACTTGCTTTAAGAGCCTCCTTCTTAATAATTCCTCGTTATAATTTTTATTGACTGACTCAGTAGTGCAAAGCAGCGGTGTTTTTATTTCTTCTGCGTTTACTAAACGTGATTATTATTTGTAGAGTAAGCAGTTTGTGTGATACTACCGGTCTGGCGAACTCACTTTTTTCTGACAAGCGAGTGGCTTTTCCCTTCTCTGCCTCCGGCTCTCCGTGCGGCTCTCCGTGCGGCTCTCCGTGCGAGGCAATGGTCACCTCTCCGCAGTTAGGCCTGAACCTCCCCGTTCGCCCGCTAGAGGCCGCTGGCACCCTCCGCAGCTGTGCGCGTCCGCTCTATCCCCGCCTCGCCGTGCTCGCCGGCCCTGTCTCGCTGGTGCCGCCGCGGTCCGCGGAGCCGCTCTAGGCTGCGGGAGGGCGGTCCGCACTGCGTGGGGAAGGAGCGGACGCCGCCGCCGACTCGCCGGCCCCCGGGGCGGTTAGCGCTTCCGGGGTCGAAGGGTGCGCGGGGTTGAAAGCGGCCCGCTCCGCCCCGTCCCCCTCCCAGACCAGCCGAGGCAGCAGCCGGAGCAGCCGCAGCCTGCGCCCTCTCCCGCCCGCCCGCCCTCCGCCCGCCCGCCCGCCCGCCCTCCGCCGCCCTCCACCCGCCCCGGGGTCTCGCTCCCCTTCCTCCTCCTCCGCCCCCCCTCCTCCGCCCGCCAGCGGGGCCCCCCTCGCCTTCCCGCCCGCCCCTATTGTTCCGCCCCCGGCCTCCCGCCCTTCCCCTTCCCGCCCGCTCCCCTTTTCCCCTCAGTCGACTCGCGCCCTCCAGGTAAGCCGAGAAAAGCCCCCTCCGCCCCCGGCGGCGGCTTCTGTTCCCACTCGCGACATCTCCCTGCGGGCTCCGGCCCGGCGCCGGAGCCTCGGCCTCTCGTAGTCCCGCTCGAGCGTCCGCTCCTTGACTCCGCTCTGCCGGCCGTTCACGCGAGGCCCTGGCTCCGGCGCGGCCTAGTAGGCCTCGCGCGGAGCCTGCCCCCCCACCCTCCGCTTTTTCCCGGTGGCGGCTGCGCAGGAGCCCAGGGCGCGCGCGCGCGCGGCCGGGGGGGCGGCGGTGGATTTGTTGGTTGAGGGGGGTGGGGAGGCGATGGCCGGCTCGCTGGCCGGGCGGGTGAGCGCCGCTCCCCGCGGGGGTCAGGCGCTGGCGCAGACACACGAGGAGGCGCTGCTTGTCCAGCCCCTCCCCCTAGGTCGCAGCGCCCCCCCCCTGACCGAACCGTTTATTCCCCCTCCCCGCGGCCGAGGGAAAGGGGGTCTTTTTTTTTTTTAAGTGGAAAATGCTTGGATGACCGGGGTGGGGGGAGGGGAGTGGGGAGCTGCAGAGTTAAAAGGGTAGGCGGACTCCCAGGTACCGAGTTACTCTGACGTTCTCTCTGGTAACGAATTTTGAAATTACAAAATGCCTGCCGCTATAAACCAGACCGAGCTATTTATAGAGGGGTAATTGACTGCAGGATTAACAGCTGGATTCCCGGGGTGGGGTACGCTTAGGTTGACCTACTCAGGAGAGGAAGACACAGAGGTTTCTCAGATTACTTACAGGGCTTGGAGTTTATTTATTTGTTTTTTAAAATGCATCTTCGTGCTTTACTTAACCGGTTTTGTAGATAGGTTTTTAGTTTTCTTCTCCTTTTGAACTTGTGTTACTGTATTTGTAAAATGATAAATATGTTTGGGGATATGGAATTAAAGCTACCAGGCTTATACCATATATTTGAGAGGGGAAAATTAGTCTTCTTACAGTCACAATTAACAGGCATTGTTTTTTGATTTTTGTTTTTTTTTTTTTTTTTTTGTGACTCAGATGTTGATTTGAGGGGTTTTTCACAGCAGTTAACTGTTTTCTGGAAAGAAGGAACTGATGTGCTTTGGTGGTACGTTTATATAACCACTTCACATCCTGAAGTAACCAGAAGACAGGGACGGAGTGCTGTGACAGTCATGTTAAAGTGCTTTAAAATTAGTGAGGGTATGGACTTGGGATGGTGAGGCAGATGGAGTTTGGAGGCCAGCCTGGTGTTAATAGCCACTTCCATTTTGTCATGGGCAACATAGATCATCCTGCCTCAGAAAAACAAACTTGCGGGTATAGGGATTGTGTATACATAACAGCAAAGTGAAAACTGACTGGTTTCATTGAGGAACAGAATTAGCTATAGGAGGAGAGAGAGTGCTTGTCATACTACTGGAGAAATTTAAGGGCTTGAGACTTTAAAAACTAGCAGTGTTTGGTACTAAAAAAAGAGAAGGTATTAAAGGCAAAAAAAACCTAACAAAACCCAAAAAGTTATTAGAGTTGTTTGAGAGGATGAGTCCACGGTGGTCATCCTGTAAAATGTCACTACTGTTTAAACACTGTTTAAACATGCTAGTACTCTCAGTTTTATTTTTATTTTTGTATTTGGAAGAACATTGAGGCTTAAAAGACTTAAATGGCTTTAGTCAAAGTTAACATAGGGGGCACAACGGAATTTTCCCAAATTGTTTAGAAAGAAAAGAATGGGTGAGAACTGAGAAGTAGAGAATCAATCTCAGAGGAACATGGAACCAAAGCAGTTGTGGAATATAGCTCAGACACACTTTTTCAGTGAGACTCCTGAGTGCAATTACTTTTCTTGTTATTTTGTGACTGTCTCAATGTATGGTTCTGGCAGTTGACTTGGTTATTATGTTGTCCAAAGTGTCCTCGAACTTAACAGCAGTTCTGTTAAAACCTCTCAAGGGCTGAGATTAAACAGTAGTGTACCACAATCCACAGATCTGAACTAAATAATTTTAAAATCATTTGAGATATGAAGTATATCAATTTTAGAAATTGCTAAGCTGCTACACTAAGGAATTAATTTACGTATACGCTCTACTGTCACTACCAAATGTTGTCCAGGAGGAAGCATGTTGAATTTGTCCTCACCCTAGTCTGTCCAGCTGTTTTTGAATAATTTTCAAAACTTGTTTAGCATAAGGACAACTTTGTGCACTAAGGCAGTTCACTTAGAACTATTGCCAGTGGAAGGAACAAATCTTTCTCATCCCAAGCATCAGTGGAATCACCCTATCATTAATGAGCAGACTGGAACCAAAACCTGATCTGGAAGTGTTCTATGCATTTGTGCTGTGTGTGTTTACAAGTCTGGTAGGCTAGTGCTTACGGAAAAGAGTCAGTGAGATGAAGATGAAATGCCAAAGGGAAAATAACTGGAAAGGAATTACTCTTTACTACTTTCCTCTTATTTTGGTCATGCTTACATTTCAGTTTTTGGCTTTCACTCTCACCAGTGACCAAAGACTTGACCACTCAAAGTCCAGCTCCCTGTAACTGCTAGACATGGACACCGGTGTGATTGAAGGTGGATTGAATGTCACTCTCACCATCCGGCTACTTATGCATGGAAAGGTATGCACCAGCTTGGAAAATTGGGTCATAGTAACTGCTATGGGAGGGGCCAGGAAAAGCAGACAAGCATCTTGGAGCTCATCAGATTAGCACTGTGGGACATCTGGCTTTAGCACTTTTCTCTAATGGAGTGTGGAGGAAAAATGGACAGCTTTTACTAGGAAGTCTCAGTGAGCAAGAAAGACTTAACAACAAGCGCAAGTGGTTAGAGCCAGAAAGCAGTCAGCGGATGCTAATATGTTCTGATGCATGTTGCTGAAACATAAACTTCAGAAAGGAAGATTGTCTTTTTTATTTTTGGTGGTACTGGAGATTAAACTCAGTCCCTCTAGGCAGACACTACCATTAAGCTATATCCAGGTTTCTTTTTACATATTATACAAAGATACGGAATTTAATCACTCTAGTTATTCTCAATTCTTTCATAGTTCCAGTATAAAATTTTGTTTAAGGAAAGGAATAAGTGCCTCTCCTCACAAATCTTAGTCTTTCCTTTGGATTGGTAAGAGTATAGTTAGCACTTGGTTAGCTGAACACTTAGAATTTTCGATGAATTTCCTCTTATCAACACTTTTCTCCATTTGCAGGAAGTTGGCAGTATCATCGGAAAGGTAAGATATGTTCACATCAACACTAATTCCTATTTAGTCAGTCTGGGCTGAAATAGCACTTGGAGCTCATGTTTGATTTTTCCTCTTACAGAAAGGAGAATCTGTTAAGAAGATGCGCGAGGAGGTAAGTTACAAGGAACATTGGAACTGCTAGCCTTGGAAAGCCCTGAAAAAGTTCTCTAAAGGGTTACAGGGGTAAGAGTTTTAGAAAGCATTTTCTGGCTACTTTGTAATAATAGTGTGATAGGAAATGAGTTTTGTGACAAGTCTCAAAACCATAGGCAGATGCAGTAGGTTGTTTGAAGACAAGTGGAGCAGAGTTTGAAATGCTTTTATGTGGCAGCTTCTTGCCTATTATCCAGGACACACTATCCTGTACAATTTCAGTTCTTTTTATCTGTTAAAACTCCTTGCTTGTTTTTCTGATCCAGAGTGGTGCACGTATCAACATCTCAGAAGGGAATTGTCCTGAAAGAATTATCACTCTGGCTGGACCGACTAATGCCATCTTCAAAGCCTTTGCTATGATCATTGACAAACTGGAAGAGGTTTGTTGTTCTTTAGAATTGTACCCTGCCCCCAATACCAGGCGTTAAAAAAAATAAAGTTCTAAAGCGTGTTAAGTAGTTGAGCTACACCCTCAGCTGGCTTGCTTTTTTTTTTTTTTTTTTTTTACTGTAATATATTTTTATTTTACGTTCATTGGTGTTGTGTCTGCACGGGAGTGTAGAGAAGCCCTGGAACTGCAGTTTTGAGTGCTGGGAATTGAGCCTGCTTCACCAGTGCTCTTAACCACCAAGCCATCTCCACCTCTCCCCTCCCTCTTTTTTGGTATGCTTTTCTTTAGTGTTTTTATGTTTTGAGTAAGTGTCTGATTTTGTAAGTGTCGCACTGCTAGTAGTCCAAGATGCCCTCCAGCCTTTCTGGGCGAGCCTCCAAGTGTGGGCTTCCAGGGAGATGTGGGTCACCCTTCCCAGTTCTCCCGTTTGTCCTGTGTCAGTGTTTGCTTCCTTTCCAGTTGAATGAACTTATGGTGCTCTTTATTAGGATCCTGCTAAACACCAGTGTGTTTTGTAGACCAAGGTTTATCCCAGTGTGCTCTTGCACTTCATAAACTGTATGTCCAGGTAGATACTGACAGTACTGTATGAAAGGTTTCGGTAAAGTCCTGGGTTTCTAGCAGCAGAATATCCATTACTGTTTGTTAGTTTTTTTTCCCTGCAAACCTGAGGCTGAGCAACTGTTGTCCTAGGCCACGTGTTCAGCTTCTTCCTCCTCCCCTGCAGTAATGCCCCTTAGTTATTTGTTGATGTTATGGGTAGAAGAGTGCTGTTTGATTGATAGTTAATGCTCCCTTAAATCTTACTCTTGTCGTGATCAATAATGTTACATTTTGGTCTGCAGCATGCTGTTAGTTACTCCAACAAAATTTTTAGCTTAAATAGAAACATGTAGAAATGCATATAGCCAGGTGTGGTAGCGCATGCCAGTATTCCTGGCACTCAGGGAGGCAGAGGCCGGCGGATCTCTGAGTTCCATGGCAGCCTGGTTTACATAGGGCGTCCAGGACAACCAGGAATGCCCAGAGAAAGCCTGTCTCAAAAAACATTTAAAATTTCATTACAGAAGAATTGTTTGTGTGCTGGTGAGTTGACTCCCTAGGTAACGACACTTGCCCAGTAACTTGTACAGACTGTTGCCGCCCTATGCGTATACTTGCTGTGTTAATAGTTGTAACAGTAGAAAGTCCTGCGATGTGGGACACAGTGTACTGGCACCTGCAATTAATAGAGGGTTATTTGTGTGCGTGTGTTTGTGTGTTTCCTTTGCTGGAATAGCGCCAAGGGACCATGCGCATTATGCATGGGCTCTTTTTGTTTGTTTTAGAGACAGGGTTTCTCTCTCCACCTTGTCTGTCCTGGGATGTTCTCTGTAGACCACTTGGCCTTGAACTTAGAATCGCCTGCCTGCCTAGGATTAACAGCACATGCAGCCGTGCCTGGACAAGCATAGACTCCTATAATTTATCTGTTGCCAACCCCAAAACTTCATTTCTTTTTTTTTTAATATTTATTTATTTATTATGAATACAACGTCTGTCTGCTTGTAAATCTGCGCTCCAGAAGAAGGCACCAGATCTCACTATAGATGGTTGTGAGCCACCACATGGTTGTTGGGAATTAAACTCAGCATCTCTGGAAGAACAGCCAGTGCTTATAACCTCTGAGCTATCTCTCCAGCCCAGCCAAAAACTTCATTTCAAAGCATTTTAGATGTGATATCCGACTTTATTGTTTTTAAAGTATTCTGTTTATTCAGTAAATAAAACTTAAGGCGGGGAGTTGAAATTTGAGATTAGGGTGTAGAGTGTTTGGTAAGCACATAGGAGGCCTAGCACTGCAGAAAACAGACCTTAACTTATGTTAGCTTTCTAGTATTAGTTTTCTAAGAGATACTCAGTTTGAAATTGGTTTCATATGCTTTAATTTTGACACTTTGTTTTCTCCCTTGCTTAAACTGTTGTTTGTGCTTGTATGGACTATATACTGTGTATACCCTGGGGCCAGAGGAAGGCTATCAGGTGTTTTCTGTTGCATTCTACTTTACAGCTTTGAGAAAGGTCTCTCAGTGAACTGGAATCTTGTCAGCCTTCCAGTTCCTAGGATACCTCTGAACTGATTTCCAGTCTTTGCTCATTACCCACTGAGCCATCTTCCCAGTCCCGTAACTCTTGCTTTCTTAATTTTGGGTACTAGGATTAGAACGTTTGGTTTCATCCATGATAGTGCTCTACTACTAAACTATCGTTTTAAACCAAATGGAAGAAATGGCAGCTCGGCTTATTAAGAGTGTTGCTTTCTCCTGTACCCTTGCTGTGGAAAAAAAAAATCACTTTATGACTGTTTCTGCAGTTCCTTTTTCTGTTGTGTGCTGCTGCTTAGGGATTAATTCCAGAGTAAGCATTCTACCAATGAGCAAGTTTGCGTGTGCTGTTCTGAAGGATGGTGGGGGAGCATCTTCTAGTCTGATTGGCCTGCAGCTCCAGATCTTTTCTCTGTGAGTGCTGGATTGTAGGCAGTGCAACCACACTGGGCTCAGAAATTGTAATTTTCACAGTTTGGTATAGTTAGAATAGATATATGTCCATAAGTTGATGTTTTCAAGTACACACACACAAATATACACACACACTATTCTTTTGATGTTTTGATCAATTTTCTTTTTTACAGGACATAAGCAGCTCTATGACCAATAGCACAGCTGCCAGTAGACCCCCAGTTACCTTACGACTGGTGGTCCCTGCTAGTCAGTGTGGCTCTCTCATCGGAAAAGGTGGTTGCAAGATCAAGGAAATAAGAGAGGTTGGTGTTTGTGCTATTTTATAATGTCTGTTATCTTTTCTTTTGTTTTTAACTTTGATTGACCTGACTGTAGACAAGGATCGTTCTGAGAGCCACCTGCCTCTGCCTCTGCCTCTGCCTCTGCCTCTGCCTCTGCCTCTGCCTCTGCCTCTGCCTCCTGAATGGGAACACCATTAATACCCATACTAAGTTGGTTTTTGGCTAGAAAAGGGTATCATTTGATATGTGAAGGTGTAAGCTGGGTTTGGTGGTCGTGCAGGTTTGTAATATCAGCTACATAAAGGCTGAGAAGGGAGACTTCAGGTTCAGGTTTTGCCTTTGCTGAGTTAAAGGCTGGTTTGCAGGGGCCAAGAGAGTCCCCTTTAGGTCAGATTGGTGTACGCAGCAAGTTCCAGGCCAGCCTGGGACATACAGTGGAAACCTCTCAATTAAAAAACAAAAACATAGGAAGTGGGTTTTAAGAAAGGGGTGTTTGGATTCAGGTCTGTAGATGGCACAGTTGTTTACTCAGCATCTGTGTGGCCCCGGTTTAACCGCTAGCACTGCTTCTGCCTGGACAGCCGCCCTGTCAGGGCTAGCAGCCCATAAAGACTGTGGTGTGACGGTGTTGACATTACAGGGTTAGGGCTCTTTCAAAAACAGTCCTATGTCAGATCTTGTGGTGTCCGAGGTTGGTAACCCAGGGCTCACGGATGCTGGTGGATGTACCCTGACTGAGCTGTTCCTACCCCTTTGTAATTTTAAGATGGAGTCTTTGCTGTGTTACTAGCTTATGCTAGTCTCGAACTTTCATTGATAATCTTGCCTCAGCCTCCCAAATATCTAGAACAGCCTTTGCCCGGTTCAGTAATAAGTCATCATATGAGAGTGCTAATTAGAATTTCTAACTTTTTACGTATAGTTTCTATTCTTTTTTGAGAGAAGACCTCACTGTTTAGCCATGGCTGGCCTGGAATTCACATACATGACTACCTTTGCTTCTTGAGTACTCGGACTAAAAATGAGTGTCACCATGTCCCATTTAATCTCCCTCCCCTTTTTTAATTTTTATTAGTATTTTAATTTTTTTGGTGAGACATTTTCTGGTGGTCAGTAAAGCCCCCGGGATTCTCCTGTCTATCCTCCAGCCTTGGGATCACAAATGCAAAACCCCTTCCTACCTTTTTATGTGTGTTCTTTGTTCTTGTGCTACAAGACTGAGCCATTTCCTTCTGCCTGTCCCCACTACATATATTTTACATCCATAAGCACATGTGGCGCTCAGTTCTTTGCGGGTTCACTGGCATTTAACTTAGGGCGTTGACAGGTTTGCTGGCGAGTGTCCACCTACCGAACTACTAAAAAAAATTTTTGTTTTTATCTATTTTGATTTTTCAAGACAGGGTTTCTCTGTGTAGTCCTGGCTGTTCTGAAACTCACTCTGTAGACCAGGCTGGTTTTGAGCCTGTCTCTGCCTCCTGGGTGCTGGAATTAAAGCTGTGAGCCATCTGAATTTTAGATTTATTTTTAACTATGTATGCATGTGACTATTTGCCTGTGAGACAGGAGCCCTTTGAGCTTGGAAGAGGGTTTTGTATTCCTCTGTGGCTAGAGCATCAGGTGGTTGGTTGTGAGTTGACTTATGGGTGCTGGAAACTGAACTCAGTTTCTTTCATACTGTAAATAGTAGAACCATTTCTAACCTTAAAATAATTTTATAAAAGATTTCTTTCTTTTATGTGTGGACTTGTTGCCTGCATATATGTGGCATACCACATGTGCCAATTTTCAGCGGAATTCAGAAGAGAGGTGGATCTCCTGAAATGGAGCTACAGGTGGTTGTGGGCTCCTTGTTGGTGATGGGAACTAAACTCGGGTCCTTAGCAGTAACAACATGCTCTTAACCATCTTTTCAGTCCCTTAAAATAATGAAATTATTTTAGAGTAGGACTCTTTGTAGCCCTGCCTAGCCTGGAACTCACTTTGTAGACCAGGGTGGTCTTGAATGTTGAGATCATTTTGCCTCTGCCTCTCAAGTGCTGGTCTGGTACTAAAGGCATGCATCAATATGCCTGGCTAAAAACTTTGTTGTCGTCCCTCCTGCCCTCCCCCAAAAAGATGGTTTCTCTGTGTGATCCTGGCTGTCCTGGCCTCACTTTGTAGACCAGACCAGGCTGGCCTTGAACTTAAAAAGATGCAGCTGCCTCTGCCTCCCCAAGTTCCTGCATTACTTGCATATGCCACCTGGCTCCAGATGGTTTTAACAGAGCCCTGGCTGTCCTGGCCTCAACTCACAAGAATCACTTGCCTCTACCTCCCCCAGTGCTGGGTTCAAGGGTGTGCGCCACTGTGCCCACCCCTAAAATTTTTAAATTGATTTTACTTGTATGTGTGTATGTTTGTGTGTGCTTGGTCAGAGGACAACTTGCAGGTCTTGGTTCTCTCTTTCTACTGTGTGTGTGTCCTAGGGATTGAATTTAAATTGTAAGGCTTGGCAACAGGCATTTTAACATAGCCCCCTTTTTTTTTTTTTTTTAGACAGTCCCTGTTTTCCATTTCTTTCAACTTTTCATGAAATGTTAGTAGATGGTTCCAAAAGGGAAGTCAGGTGCAATACTTCGAAGTGGGTTGGGGGGTGGTGGTTAGGTTTATTGAGGTACTACCTCACTATACCAGGCTGCCCACAGACATACGGTCCTGCTCTTTCAGCTTTTCAATGATGAGATTATAGGTATGAGGAACCAGTCTTAGATCTTTTAATGATGTGTATTTTCAATACTTGGAATAGTGCTTGATGAAAATATTTGCTCAGTAAGAGAATGAATGAGGATTTTGTTTGGCCCACAAAGCTATCATTACTAGGTGAGAGGAATTTGTCTAGAAAGGACTTTATTTCTGAGTGCAGATTAAAATGTAGGCTGTTACCCAGATTTCTTATCTCTCGGGTAATTTTTAAATTCAGTAAGCCGTTGTGCCTGGAATAAGAAAAGAAAAAAATGGGAATGGAGGAAAAAATTGTCGAACTTGATATTCTGAAGTTGCCATTGGGAGTAAATGAAGAGCATAGTTCTCTGATTTTTTTTTTTTTCTCCCTTTTACCTTAAAGAGTACAGGGGCTCAGGTCCAGGTGGCAGGGGATATGCTCCCCAACTCAACTGAGCGAGCAATCACTATTGCTGGCATTCCGCAGTCCATCATTGAGTGTGTCAAACAGATCTGCGTGGTCATGCTGGAGGTAAGCCCTCAGGCTCATGCTTGAGGTGAGGGTGATTCTGGGGACGGGACCTGATCTATATTTAGTAAGACTAGAATTAGGTAAAGCTTTTAATAGGCATATCAGTAGAGGTGGGTAAAGAGGTTCCCTGAGTTCATACATTCCTTCTCCCAGTTTTGACGTATCTTAGTCTGTAAGCAAAAATAGAGTCTGTTAAATAGTGGTCTTGTGGTTCAGAACAATTCAAGTAGTGTGGGTAGAACAAACTTGGGATTTTTGAAATGCTAACTGACCTTTTGAATTGCTTGACATTGACACATTCTTTATTTTTCACTTTAAAGCAGGATATATTAAAAACAGTTATATCATAGAACAGTATCAATGACTGTTTCAATGTGTTTCTGAGTGTATCAATGTGTTTCTGAGTGAATTGTCAAGTCCTATATATTCTGCTGCTGCCAAAAATCGAAATTAAGAGAAATTAAATCTTTTTTTGAGTTTCATGGAGTCGACCTCATATGAATCAGAAAGGAAAAAAGATTTTTTGTTTGTGTCTTTGAGCCATAAACATGATATTTAGGAATTTCATATCCACCTTACACAAAAATGTGAAATCCAAAAGATTGTCAGGGAAAGTTTGTCTACACATAGTTGTTTTTTGTTTGTTTGTTTTTATTTTTTTGGTGTGAATTAAATTTATTTACAAGTGTGGAATTTGTGACTAAAATTATCTCAAAGCATCTTCAGTGAAAATCAATGTGAGCCACATAATCAATAAACTTTCTCCTTGCTTTAAAGACACATAACTGCAGGTAGTTGAGATTGTGAAGTACAACGTGATGAGTGAGGGACTGGAAATAATGTTTATTTAACTGACCTGTGTGTGCTATAGCCACACAGCTGAAGCAGCTTTGAAACCTTATCTCTTTTTGTTTTTTTCCCCTCTGACTCTCTCCCAGTCCCCCCCGAAGGGCGTGACCATCCCGTACCGGCCCAAGCCCTCCAGTTCTCCAGTCATCTTTGCAGGTGGTCAGGTAAGAAAATTCTTATTGGTGGGATAGAATGAACAAAGATTTTAAAAACAACTTTGCCAGCAGCACACCAAGCCACTTTGCATGCTTGCTGAAAACCTGTACTTTGGTCGAGTTTGATTTGCTTTTTTTTTTTTTTTTTTTTTTGTACTGGAGAAAGTTTTGAATGGCAAGACCTTACTTTATTTTTAGCAGGCAATGGAAGTTTTGTAGACACTCAGAACAGTAATTGGTTTGGTGATTGAAGGTGGTTTGGGTTCAAGTAAATTCCTCCAGTGTCATCCTCTCCCTGTCTCAGCATCCATGCTTCTGTGTGTGGGATGATGAAGGTCTGAGTAATGGCAGTAAAGCAGTGGGACCTCTGGAGTCTGGATGGTCTCAAGATGGCATGGGGCCATGGGATTGGGTCCTGAACTTGAGTGTCCTACAAATTTTCCCTCCCCTTCACCTCACCTCCCCCACTCCTACCCTTTCATCCCCAAACTCCAGTGTGTTGTCCCCCCCAGACTCTTAACCTTATAAACACTGGTTTGAAAGCAGCTGGAGTTAGAGGAACATACAGGGGTAGGGTGGGGAGAGCATGCTGGCCTGTGGTGTGAGCACACTACCAAAGCACTCTTGATGCTTCGTTCCTCACCAACCTAAACCATTTATCTTTAACACTTGGTACTAGTGTACTTTGGTTAGTGATATGTAAGCCAGTTTTTAAGGTACTGAAATTCAGGTTGAAATAGTCACCTTTGCTACTTGGGGCTATCCTTTTTTAAAACATCTTTTTTAACTAGTTAGATTTATTTGTATTTGGTGTGAAAGTCATTTGAGAGAAGAAAACATCAGTTTAGATGGAGTCCATCTCATATTTTACTGAATTTTAATAAAAGTGAACAAGTTTATATCTTACTGAGCTTTCACGAATAGTCACATTTTGAGGTTTGTTAGAACCTTTGTAGCATTAGTTTTGCTTAAACAGATTTGTCAGAGGGCTGACAATGTAAGTAGTGGGGCAAGATACAGTAACCGCTCAGTCATTGTAGCCAGGAGGGTTAGCTTCAGGAGTTATCCCTTTTCCCATGGAACTCTTTTAAGTTCTCCAGTTCTGTGTCACCAATCCTCTGTACTGCAATCCTTCCTCTTCCTTATCTTCACTCCCTGTCATTTCCTTCGTACATTTTTGCTTCCTTTCCCTCCCCTCCCTATATTCAGTTAACTGCCCTCTAAAAGCTTACAGCTTCTTCCATGAGTTGCCCTGCTAATGGGTCACTTCCATGGGCCTTTTTATAAATGGACCTGTTGGTATAATGTCCACCGAGAGACCTGTATCTTCTGTGGCAAAGTGGCCACTGTAGGGTCCAACCTAATCCTACAGTGACCAAGACCTGGCATCAGCTCTCTTACCTCACCCCTCACTTTTACTGAAAATAACCCAATTGTGCAGTGTTATCTGCCACTAGGTAACTTTTTTATTTTTATTTTTTAATTCACTGATTACAGCTCGTTTCAAATCTGTGTTGTGAGCTCCTTTTTAAAGGAAAAAAGAAAAATCTTTTTTTGGGTGTGAATTTCATGCTGGTGACAAGGTGCCGGATTGACAGCCCTGGAGACTGAAATCCTCTATTTATCCACAGGACAGGTACAGCACAGGCAGCGACAGTGCGAGCTTTCCCCACACCACCCCGTCCATGTGCCTCAACCCTGACCTGGAGGGACCACCTCTAGAGGTGAGAGGGGATGTTCAGTCTCCAAGGCTCACTCAATCCTTCCGCCTCAGCCGAGACTGCCAACACACGGGGGGCCAGTGGCGCTGGTGATTTTTGTGCTGTGGACACCACCTGTCCACGGGGACCTGGACTGACCTCCCCACCTCATTTCACACAGGCCGCGTAGCCCACCAGATGGTAACACCAACTTTTTTTTTTTTTTTAATTTTTTTTTTGTTGTTGTTATTCAATTCCTCTTTTCCCTCCCTCACTCCTCCCATCCCATTTTCACCTTCCCACCCCAACCTGGGTGTGCTTTTGGGGGCACTGGCCACTGTGATGGGAGAAACTTCACATTTTGTTAAGTAACCAGCCACTCTTTCCCCGTCCCTTCTTTTTTTCCTTTGCTCGTTTCCCCCATTGCCCTGAAGACTGAGCTCCCTTTTTGGGAGAATATGGTGTGGGGAGGAGGGCCTAGTGGGAGCTGCAAGAGCCTTTATGCAGTGGGTTAGACAAAAACAGGATTTAGCATATTGGTTTGTTTTTCTCCCGATGCTTCTGTGGTCAGGTCCCTAGTGTTAGAGACTTAGGTTAGCTTCTAGTGCATATAAGGTCTTAAGCAGTGTCTGAATATATGCCATGCAGGTCTGTGTAGATAACAAATTATTTGTGTTAGCATGCTTGCTGTCTTGTATTGAATACATGGGGTTGGGGGGATTGATCAGTCAAGGCATTGATTTACTTTCATTTTCCACATTTTTGTTAAAAAGCAAATATGTATATTTTGCCTTAATCAAAGAGAACTTGTATATCCTTCTTAGAGGATCCTTGGAATAAAGTTAACCGTATTTTAGGGCTCAAAGAAGGCCAGCTCGGGTCTGAGCGTTTGTGAGATTCCATCTATTGTTTCAGTCCCTGGCCTCCCTTTCTCTTGTTCAACTCTGGCTTCCTGGCTAGTTGAGAACTTGTCTTCCCCCCACACTGGGTTGCTGTCCATGATTGGTTTTTAATAGGAACTGTTTTCCTCCTTTTGTAGGCCTATACCATTCAAGGACAGTATGCCATTCCACAGCCAGATGTAAGTTTTGATTTCACTTCTTGTTTTGAAAAACTTTCTCCGTCCAAAATTGTCTGATTCTTTTCTCTTTAGTAGGCAGGAGTAAATTTGGGTCTTGAACATTTACAGTGTTAATATGGCTTACAAGGTGAACCACACAGTAGCAACTAGTTTGCCTTTGAATGGAAAACCCCTAGAAATTATCTTTTAAGATTACTCTAAAAGACATGGTCCATGGTACACTATTAATATCTTGTCACAGTTGAAACTCAGTGAAGTATGCTTTCGTAAATAATTCCCATGGGGTGAGTGGGAGGTTGGGCTTGCCTTTAGGTGCTGCTCAGTCTGAGGTGACAAATTAGAGAAGCACTGAGAGTTTATTGCACAGGGAAGGCTGGAAAACTGATTGTTGGAATTCAACTCAAACTTTACTAAAAATCTTTCATGTTAAAGTACTAGTGGTTAGATTTCTGTCCAAGGACTTTTTTTTCCTTCCCCTGCAAATTTCTTCCTTAACCTTTCAGATGCCAAGCTTTAGACTTGGAAAGTTGAGTTTGGTTTTTGGTTAGTGGTAGCCTCTAGGAGAGGTGTGAAATAGACTGGAAAAGGGATTATTTTTATCACCAGCTAGGACAATTACCTATGTGTATTATAAATAAGATAGTTAAAATATTTTTTGGGGACTAAGCCCAGTTTGGTTTCTTGTTGAGCTTCTCTCCTCCTTGCAGTCTCCCTGCCCCCCTCATCCCCTTCCTTTTCCTGGTGGAGCCCTGCATGGTGTGTTTTCCCTAGCACCACTGCGCAGTTTGTTTATCTGGCCTGTCTGCGCTTGTCCCTGGGGCAACTGTTGGCAATGGCTGCGTATATGTTGATTAGACCGTCCACAGGGGATGGTTCTTGGGCTGGTGTTACTGCTTTCTTTTTCATATACCCCAAATGCATTCATTCTTACATACTGACTTCCTTTCTATTTCCAACCCTAACCTGTATCATATTCTGCCTGTCACTGGATTGTATTGTAAGACTCAATTTTACCCTGTGTTATAGTTGGAATAGACTCAATTTTGGGAATCAGAAGCTGTGTGCATTTTCATATTTGAGTGTGCTTGAGTCCTGTCTAGGTTATCCTTCTTCTAATGCTGGTCTCTCCTGTTTCCTTCCTATAGTTGACCAAGCTGCACCAGTTGGCAATGCAACAGTCTCATTTTCCCATGACCCATGGCAACACCGGATTCAGTGGTATGGACACCTCAGTGTGTATTTCTTTCTGTAAGGTGTAGTACAAGATAGAGGCCAGTCCCAAGGTCTCAGCTTGACAGCTATTTAAAATAAACTTGATTATCATCCAGCACCTGCTGGTTTAAAGTTGACTACTGTGGCTAAAGGAGGTAATGTGTTTGTTATCATGGTTTTCATTTGGGGTGAATTAATTATAAAAGAATAAGAAGCCCTGGAAGGTTTGGGGTGAGGTCTGGGGATGCTTGTCAGGAAAAGGGTAGGCTGATAATTCTTATAAACCATGGTGATAGTAGCCACCTTGATCTGATTGGCATCCCCCTTTTCTCCACCAGGTGTTCACAAACTATGTAGTGTATTTTTAGTTTTGTTTTGTTTTGTTTTGGGGCTTTGTTTTTTTTTTTGCTTTGTTTTGTTTTGTTTTTTTGGTATAAGGACTAACTTGTCCGATAGGGTTAGAATGAGACCACCAAACTCATTTTCACTTGTATCTTAACAGGCATTGAATCCAGCTCTCCAGAGGTGAAAGGCTATTGGGGTAATGATTAAAAAAAAAATCTGTAGTATTCTACTGTTATATTAATAAACTGGTGGGAGTCGTGTTTCACTGCCCATAAAACCATATTAGCAACATGCACATGGCAGAGAGGAGCTGAGAGAGCAAAGGGGTGGGCCTGGTGCTTCTGAGGGTCCCTTGCTGGATCTGGCCAACCACCTTCTAAAAATAAGAGTTGAGAGCAGGACTAGACTGGTTAAGGCTTAGCTAGCTGGAATGGCCCAATCCTGGTGTCCTTAGGGGTGTTTGTGATGGGATTTTTTTTTTTTCCTTTTTTTCTTTCTTGTTTTTTGTTTTTGTTTTTTTTTGGAAAACCAAACAAAAGAATGCTTAGAGCAAAAGACAGAATAAATCTGGAGAATAAACTCCCTCAAACTAATTGCCATTTTATCTATTCGATCTTTAAGTGTAGCTTGGGAGGAGGTCGGCGGAGGGTGTTATTCTGATACAGGCATACTGAAAGCAACTCTGTGTGCCAAGAGTTCTTGATACCTGGTGATAGGAATAAAATTGGCACTGATTCTACCGAGCATTGGGTGAAGTAAAATGAGGACACAACAGTAGTCTTAATTAGAAAAGGGGTAGATGTGCAGAGGCATTTGATGTATAGATTGCTCCTGTTTAAGAATACCACACTCTCTTGCCCCTTGTTACCTCCCTGCCTGTTAGTCTGGGCTCTGCAGGAAATGGCATAAAGTCAGCTCTTCTGATGTACAGAAGACTCTTTCCAGCATTGTTTTCGATGCCCCACTCCCATCTTTCCTCCTTGGAGGCTTCACAGTTAGTGATGAACCCCAACAGCCAATGCTGGGCTTCCATTTTATTTTCTTCTGTTATTAGTTTAATGTACAGATAACTGATTCTGAATGCTGTACATTAAACTTTCTTGCTCTTTTCTGTCTTTTAGCAGGTTTGGATGCATCTGCTCAAACTACTTCTCACGAACTCACCATTCCAAATGATGTAAGTGTAATTAAAGTATGTTAGAATTTTGAGGAAAACCTTGTTAGAGAGAATTGATACAACTCTTTCTGTCCTGTAGAAATTTTTGCTTTTCTCTTAAAGAATCTGGAACTTGGTGGGCGACGATAATATTCGTTTAATTAATCCTAGCATGCTCTGAGTTCAATTCAGCCTGAAATATATAGTAAGACCCTGTTTCCCCCAAAAGAATATCAGAGTTTGACTTTGCTTTGGGGAGGAGTGATTCTTGATTGACTGTATATTTGCCCCTTGACAATAACATGTTAAGTAATTAGATTACTATTTAGTAATAGATACTGCAAATGTTCTTCCAAAACACATTGGGGGTAATTGTCAGAATCATAAGCTGATGGCGACAGGATGAATTTATGCATTTTTGATGGTCCAACAAATACTAAAGGCACTTTTATTTATTCCTAGCCTAGCTATCTCACTAGATTTCAGTATTGGCTCTGGTAAATTTATTTTTGGAGTGGAGGCAATACTATAGGGATAGAAACAAAAGCTAATGCTTACACTGAGAAACTGTCTTACAGTTGGCCTTGATTTGTAGTTGATCAGGTAAATGGTTCAGACATTGAAGTGAGACCTATACTTTAAGATTTTGAGAGCAGAATATCAGAAAGATTGTGCAGTGCGGTTTTAGGTACAGTTTAGAAATGTATGGTATATGATATTCTTAATTTGTTTTGTTGTTTGTTTCTCAAGTTGATTGGCTGCATAATTGGGCGTCAGGGCGCCAAAATCAATGAGATCCGTCAGATGTCTGGGGCGCAGATCAAAATTGCCAACCCAGTGGAAGGATCTACTGATAGGCAGGTCACCATCACTGGATCTGCTGCCAGCATTAGCCTGGCTCAGTATCTAATCAATGTCAGGTAAGTGCAACCTGCCTTTATGCTTTTCTAATGCTAGCATAGGAGTGAGGGAGGGTGATACAGTAAATGTAGGCTTGCTTGGGGTGATACAGGTTGCAAACGCCCACCCTCTTCCTTTTATTATTGAGCTCTGCTTTCCTTCTGTCTTTAATGTAGCAGAGAAACATAACCAGGTTGGAGTTAAGTTTGCATGGAGTTGCATAGATCTCCTGCGTTGGTATTCTGGGGTGTGAAAGGGTGGTAGTAGTATATGTCTTTGCTGGATAGGACACTGCTCTCGCTAGCAATAGGAGACACTGAAACACATTTTTGTTTTCCTTGTCTCACATCTCTTATGAATTCAGAGTTGAAAGTATCTTGAATTTTTAAGGATAATGAGATATTGAAGTAGCTTCTGGGAGATAGCTATTAGCATTTACTCTGCAAAAATATTTTTGAAATGATTATGGAAAAATGGAGCACAGGCTTAGTGCTCCAGATATATACAACAGGCATATTTTTCTATTCCGCTCCTCACCCTGTTCTCATCCATCCGAAAATGCCTTCTCAGGTTTTATTTCCCTATATGTAGATTTTGTTGTACACCCAGTTGTAGGAAAATTGTGCATAATCAAATGCACATCCCACGTGGATGCTCATTTTTTTCCTTAGTTTTTCTTTCAGTAGCACCACTTTAGGCGTGTTGTTAGCAATAGCTCAGTCCCTCCCTTTCCAAAGGGACCTAGCTGATCTTTCTGTAGGAAGAAGTCTTTACCTTTCTTGTATTTACTCTCTTCCACATAAAAGGTTAAGAGTTCCTGCATCTAGGACATAAGGGCATTCAGGGATATAAAATATACTCATGTTACACATGTGCTTCTGTATGTATCTCTAGTTGAAAACATTGCCAATTCTGCAGTGGTGGTCTTCACTGATTTTTATATTTTTATGACTAGAGCTACTGCTGTTCTTTATGTAGAAAGGAGTATATCTAGACATACTTAATTTACAACCACATCAAGTTTTTAATACTGAGTGAAGTTGTAATCTGCAGAGTGAGCCTGTTAGGAAAGACTTGTTTCTAGTTCACATTGGAGGGTAAGTTTTATTTGGCAAAAATAATGTTAGAAATTGTTACCTTCTGCTTTTGGCATGCTTACTTAAATGCGATAGTTCAAATTATAACTTCAAGTTTGACCTTCTTGATTGGTGTTTTTAATAAGTTAGTGTCTACATCGTAAGGAAGCAGAACTTCACTACCTGAAGTAACTGCAGATTGTTTCAGTTAAGCAGCAGAGTGAAAATATCCAAACTATGGATTTGGATCAGAGCTTTTTAAAGCCTTATCACTAGTGTCAGGATAAGTACAAATCTGCTTTTTACCTTCCTCTTGACTCAATTTGAATGGAAAAAAAACAAACTGGTTTTATTGTTTTCATTTTTGGCTTCACAACATTTAGCTGGTTTCTGAGCTCTCCTTCCAGGGCTCTGCATCTCTGCTTCATTGCTGTGACAGTTCCTTAATGGACCGGAAGTGGCTCTGAATAAACTAAACAAAATGGTTAGGAGGAGCTTTTCGAATGCCCTTGGAAGTAGGCTTGTGTGGGACAGTTTGACCTCAGCAGATATCTATCTGTTCTGGCTTTGAGGACTATTGGGGTATATTTTAGGAATAGAGGGTACATTATTTTTGCCTTTTTAAACAAAAAAGATAGGTGGTAGGTTTTTCTCCCCCCCCCCCCAACTTTAAACTTTAAGGAATGATCAGTTAAAATTAAGAGCCAACTTCCCAATGGAAAAGCTTCCCAAGATTTTGTCCATATTTGTTTGTACCTTTTTTTTTTTTTTTTTTGAAAATGTTACATGCTTTGAAATTAGTCAGTGACCTATCTTGGACTCCTTATGCCTCCTTCCATTTAACATTTTGGTTCATTTTCATGAGGATGTAAATCCATATAAATAATATCTATAGGAAAGTTTTCTTAGGCAAGCATGGTGAATCGCACTAGTAATCCTAGCACTGAGGAGGCTGAGGCAAGCAGCTGCAGTTCTAGCCTAGTCTAGGCTGCACAGGAAGACCCATCTCAAAAAAATTTCTTAAATGATTTTAGTATAACAAGTAATTTTCTCAAATAAATAATTGATCCTTCAGTTAAACTGGAAACTGATAATTTGGTTTATGAAATGATTTTTTTTTTTTTTGTTTACAAGGTTAATTCCTTCAAGCTAAAAAAATTTATTAACACTGTTGGGGGCTGAATGTAGTTTTTTCTGTATATTAGGCAGTTCCCAGCTATCTTTGTCTTTTCTTTGGAAAGAGGGTCTTAGAGTTGCCTTAGTGTAGCCCCTCAGCTGTGGACTTCTGTTATTATTTGCCTAAGCCTCTTCAGTAGCTGTACCACCGGGGCCTGGCCACTGTATTCTGGTTGCTGGGGTTGGGTCAGTATATCAGATATTTGGAAGTATGTGCTCTATGATTCTTTCTTATCAACTGTGTCTATCAGAGTAGCTTTAAGTAGCATTGTATATGTGGGGGGGTGATAATGTTAACATTTAGAGGGTGGGCACAAGCTGAAAGAGTTTGTCAGAAGTTGGTATTAGACTTTCCTAATTGGCAGCAAAGGCACTGATAGAGCTGAAACGGGTTTTGTCCTGTACTTTTTCCCTATTGTGGTCTTCCCACCCACCCACCCTTTTTTTTTGTTCCTTTTTTCCTCTGTTACAGTTTAGAAAACGCTAAACCCTCCTCCCAGGCAGCCTCCGTCACGATCCCTGATCACCTCAGCATCAACCTCTCTCAACCCTCCACCCCTTCTTCTTCTTCTTCCTCCTCCCCCACCACCCCCTCGCTCGCCACGGCGGGGACTTCCGACGCACCCTCCAGCCTCCCCAACCCTCTTCCGACCGCCCCTTGTGTCTCCAGTCTGCTTGGCATGAAACCCATCCCTCTCCTGGCTCTAAATGTTGTGTCTGCTGCTAAGGGTACCGGGGCTTCAGCTGCCACCACCACCACCTCTACTGTGCCATGTGTAACTAACAAACTGAAAGGCGAGAAGCAGAGGTTCTCTCCCTACTGAGTGCACATCTTGGCACCTCCTCAAGTGTTGGTTTATGTTGTTTTTCTTTGTTAACATTGGTGAGAACCAAACTATTGTGAGCTTGTGACCGTTTTCTTTTTACTACTTTGGGGGAGAACTGGTGGGGGTGGGCACGGGTAATTCTTGTTTAGGTTTAGGTCTTTACAGCTCAGTGCCTGTTTCAGAGTCTGACTTGTTGATTTAAATCTTTATCTAGAGCCACAGTTCTTACACTAATTCTGTTACACTTTTTTGTAGCATTATACTGCCTTGCAATATAAACAATGTGTTAGGCTCTGTGTTGATGAATAAAAGCTTCTCCTTTAATCCTTTCCTTTTTTATAGTTGAAATTATTTAATGGTTAAGCTGTCAGCTGGCTCTAGCCAAATCTGTGTTTCTAGTTATAATAAAGTTGCCACAGTAAGAAGAGTAGCTCACTGTGTGATGTGACGGGTGAGGGTGGGGGTCTGTGGTCTGTGCCTTGTCAGCTTGGATGGCTGTGCAGCCTGTTTGGGCCTCTTTGCATCCAACATGAACTTTTAATTTTAACCCTTTGTCAGTATTCCCACGTAGAAGGGCTGTCAGTGTTTAAACACTGATCCTCATGCTTAGCCAGAAGCTTTGAGTCAAGAACAGCTTTCCTTTGCTAACAGCCAGTAAGTGTCAAAGTGTCCTTGCCTTGACCTCTTCCCTCTGCTCAGTGGTTATTTCAGAAGCACACATAGAACTAACTATAACCAGAGTCTGGTATCTTTTGTCTGTATTCCTTTAATGGATCATTAAATAGGATATACAGGAATATCCTATCGTTAAATAGGATATCTAGGATATCATTAAATATCGTTAAATAGGATATCTAGGAAATGCAGGAAGGGCTTATAGTTATGCTGAACCAGGCAAGTTCTTTTACCTTCTGTTTCCTGCCTGCTTGTCTCAGTAGCGGCACGATCACGAGTGCGAGATACTATGCTTAGATGAAGCTTAGGGATTTACCTTGTGTAGCATGAAGTAGAAAAGGTGCCCTAAGAGCACAGAAACTCCATGGGTGACCAGCCAGGACTCACTGTTTGTGCTGTGCTTGTACAATACCATGGTGCGCTTTCCTAGCTCCTGATGTTGACTTTCTCCTTTTTTTCTGATGTACATCTAAGCCACTTTTTAAAATCAAGATGAACCACAGGTGTTTTCACGAAAGAGGAAAAATGATGGACTCAGGGTTCCGGCTTAGACAGTGGTAGAATATTTGCCGGGCCCTGCGCTTGTTCTCTAGCATTGAAAACAAAATGGAGAGCTGGATCTCATGTAATGAGAAAGCCACTTGATTCTCTTCCATTCAACCAAGGTACATATAAGTTTACTAAGTAGGCAGTGAAGAGTGTTTTCTGATGGCCTTCCCAAACATCCTTTGAGTGGCATTGTTAAACAATATCAGAAAGACAAATAGCTGCTCGTGCTTATTACGGTATCGTTCAGTTATTCTAGCTCCTTTATTCCAGACGGCCTTTCACATGTGTGCACATACCCAAGTCAGGGTCATGGTTTTAGAAAAGCAACTTGAGGCCTGTTGGTTAGCCGTCTCCTGTGCTAGGTAGTTTTAAATATTTCTGTAGTTAAAACTGTTCTGATGACCATCTCTGATGGGATTTGGTTTTAACTATGTTGGAAGGCCTTTTGATCTAACAAATATCCCTGAATAAAGAATTGCTGGGAAGTAATCCAGATGTTCAAGAGGCTTGACTTTTATGAAAATTTAAGAGCTTGGTGCTCATGTATGGTTTCTGATCTCGAGAAGTTATTTCTGTTGAGACTTCCCTTCTGTGTCAGCAACTGCATCTTGCCCTTTAAATTCCTTCTTAGGCTTTATAGTGAGTACTGGATAGTTCTTGAGCTGTTTATATGGCTACTACTCTGTATGGTTGTTTTTCAAGATAGTAGATTTAGAGGAGGCAGTTCCATTGCGCCTTTGTTTCCCAGTGAATTCTGTCATTCAGAGTTGCCTATATGCCTGTGCAGGCAGGAAATTGTTGTATCCTATGGAACTGGTATCAGCCGTTTGTGAGCCACCATGTGGGTTCTGGGAACCAAATCTGGGTACCCTGCTATAGCATCAAGTACTCTTAACTGTTGAGCTGTCCCGAGTCCCGAAAGCTTACTTGCCTTGCCATGGGAGCCTCTTACTTGGAGATGTGGAGAATCTGCTCCCTTTGTTTGTTGTTGATGTTCATGCGCTCATGGGTTGTGCCCAGGTGGGGTGTGCCATAGTGCACATGGCAACGTCGTCGTCTTTACCAAGTTTCAGATGGTCTTTTTGGTCACTGCTAATAGCTGGCTTTCCAGCTTCTGGGAATTCTCCTTCCTCTGATCAGTGGCTGTGTGCTGAGACTACAGATGCCATATGCTGCCTACTGAGTCTGCGTTGACAGGCACACTGGGCGTGTTATAGTCAGGTCTTTATGCTTGGGTGGCAAACACTGTATCCACTGAGCCGTCGCCACAGCCCATGTGTTCCTGTGTGTACACGTGTGTGGGTTCATGTGAACATGTACAGGTGCACAGAGGTCAAAACTGGTTTATTTTCTTTCAGCTTAATATGAGATCTTTGGACTTGGCTCACTGTTTTGGCTAGGCTCTTCCCCTTTCTCCACACCCCCAGCAATTGGTATTCCAATTTCAGACATTTTTACATGGGTGCTGGCTCCTCCTCGCTTGAACTGGCATCATCTATCCAGCTCCTCTTAATAACTCCCTTTGTGCTGAATTTCAGTACTGAGTAGGCCTCGCTCTGAGATCTCACTTGTGGACTTATTGTTTAGGCACATTCAGGCCAGTAAGATAAACAGGACAAATAATTTGTTTCCCGGACACTCACCTCCCCTTGTGGTATGTGTACATTCAGTGCACGTGGTGTTCCCCAAATGAATGCATGTCAGACCGAGTCTTTGTGAAGCTAATTGAGCTTCTGGTGTGGAACGGGGACTTCCACCTTTACTTGTCCTCAAAATGAAGCATCTTACTGCCCACCTAATAATAGTGAGGTGTACGGAATGCCATTTCCTCAGGGCTTAATTGGATTTCAGGACCTCAGATGACCTATTTGAAACATAGAAAGGCACTGTACTAGGTATGTTTACAAATAGGATTTGGCTCAGGAAGGCCACAAGTTTTGAGTTTGAAGAGTGAGCTAAGGAACTGAAGCCCTTCTGCTTGTTAGTATTCTGCCTGTTAGTATTTTCCTACAAGCTTGAAAACAGCAATTGGAATCCTCACTGTATAACCCTTTAACACTTAATATCACGTGATGTTCTCAAGTGTTATGCTTCCAACACATAGTAATTCCTTTACTACCCAGGCTGTGGTAGTACACATGGCAGGATTTACCTCCTGAAGGCTAGTGTTGCCCAGATTTGTGGTTGTGCTTGCAGGAGGTAAGCGGAACAGGAAAGACACAGCTTTTGTGTAACAGCAAGTGGCATAGCTCTAGAAATTCTGTAACAAAGTTTCCAAAGAATACAACTTGGAAAGAGAGTGTCAGCAGTCTGACGTGCTTTGTTAGGTCCTTTATGATTGGGTAAACTGACTTCCTCTTGTTTCTGTTTTACAGGCTTTCCTCGGAGACAGGTGGCATGGGGAGCAGCTAGAACAGTGTACTCCTCCATAATCCCTTTCTGCTGTTCGCCACCACCCATGATCCATCTGTGTAGTTTCTGAACAGTCAGCGATTCCAGGTTTTAAATAGTTTGTAAATTTTCAGTTTCTACACACTTTATCATCCACTCATGATTTTTTAATTAAAGTGTTTTAATTCCTTTCTCTGTTCAGCAGTTACGCTGAGATATCCATATTTAGTTTTATAAGCTTCTCCCCTTTTTTCCTTTTTTTGGGTTTTTTGGCTCATGAATTTTTGTTTGTCATGGAAATGTAAGAGTGGAATATTAATACATTTCAGTTTAGTTCTGTAATGTCAGGAATTTTTCAAAAAAAAAAATTAAAAGATGGACTGGAGCTTTTTCTTTGTGAATAGAAACTGGATGCCACAGTGACTTATGTGGGTGTTGTTCCTGGCTTGATTATTTTTATACCTCTAACCTTCACAGAGCCCTGATTGGGTTTAAATAGAATTAAGATATTTTCTTTTGTTTCACCACTTGAATTTTTTGTTTATAAATTTCCCCTTGATGTTTCCTCCCCATGACCCTGGGCCCTTTGAGAACTTGTTTATGAAGATTGACACTTACCAGAGTGTTGTGGAGCAGCAGGAACGTGACTGGTATCTACATGCATCACGTGTATCTGGCTGACAGGAAGTTTGGGAGTGTAAGCTGCCACTTGCGCTAGTGTGCATGCCTTCTTCTTGTCTTGAAGTCAGTTAGGAAAGTTTACCTGCCACCATGTATGTTAACTTAGAAGGTTGGCGATGGACACGTTGAGGGAAGATCACAAAGTAATTTGTCCACATTTCTCAGATGAAATACATGTAGTTTTTGGTTTTTTGGGACAGGGTTTCTCTGTGTAGCTTTGGCTTTGTAGACCAGGCTGGCCTCAACTCACAGAGGACCCGCCTGCTTCTGCCCCTGGAGTGCTGGGGTTAAAGGTGTGCGACACCATGCCCAGCTCTCTTAGATAAAATTTTAAATCCAAGATTTCACCGTGTATGCACTGCTACACTTATTCACCAAGAAAACCCTCGAGGCTGGGCCTGCGTGGGGTGGTTATATTTCAAGGTTGTTCACAGGGTTACAATATGACAGTCCCCGCCCCTACCAGGCACCAGGGTAGCAGCAGGGACTTAAACAGCACCCCAGTTCTTCAGCCTGAGCCATCACATGCCGTCAGTCTTTAACTTGCCTCTGGGCCCTAAGCCAGGGCTTGGGCAGAGAAACAGGAACAAAGAAATGGGTTACATTGCCACCTGAGAAACCTCAGAGGGGAGGACCCAGCCTTAGTTTCCCTCCTCCCAAGTGCAAAATGTGTAAACAGTAAACGGAAAATAAAAGTGCAGTTTTAAGTGGATCCTCTTTCTGCCGCCCAGCGTTCAGGGGTGGACAGTGTAGACAGGCCTGGCGTTTCTATTGCCTACTCATTTGTTGAACATAAGGAATGGGGTGAAGCAAGAAGGGGCCGGTTTCCTTTCCTCATAGCTCTAGGGCGGGACTTTGAGTCGGTCATATCCACAGCTGCCAGTGTCCCTAGAACGCACTCTGTACCGGTCGGGGTCCTTCCCTCTCGAGCCTGACTCAAGGCTTAGAAAGCCCCGTCTATCTGTTGATTATGTGGCGCATATATATTATTTATATAAATATTTCTCTATGTACAGGGAAGAAGAGTGTCTTTCATGGGGGAAGGGAGGCTGGGGGCCGCAAGGCATCAATGCTGTTGGAGTTGTCCAGTTCGGTGCTGTCACAGTCTGAGTCCTCCGGATTGCGTCCCTGTGAGGAAGAGCAGAGTGTGAGGGAGGAGCTCAGCGTCTCAGGCTACGCTTCCTTGAGGGCCCCTGGGGCGTGCTGCTCTTAAATTAGCAGTGCAGTCCTCCGCGTTTACAGGTCTACAGGTCCTGCGCCAGGGCACAAGCAGGGCAGGCACGCGCCGCGCCGCGCCGCGCCCAGGGAGAGTCCGTTTTCATCGCCGTGGAGGACACTGGCTTAGACGCTTGAGTGGCGTGACGGCGGACTCGCATTTCTAGTGACCGGTCTCTGCTCCCCGTCCGTGGTCACGTCTGTGGACTCACCTGCTCAGCTCTGAGGGGGTCCCGGGGCTGCGCGGGCAGGGGCCCGCTCTCCCGGCCGGCGCCCACCTCGGAGGCCGGCAGGTCCAGCGGGATCTCGGAGCCCTGCGAGCACATGTCGTCAGACCGCTCGTCCGGCCGCTCGTCGGTGTTGGTGCTGCCGACCTCCGGCGTGCCGCTGGGGGAGGGCTCGCTGGCCGTGCCCTCCTCCACGTCCGACGGGTTCTCCGAGCTGACGGTGGACCGCGACTGGCGCATGTTGGGGCCCTGAGGCCACCTAGACGTGGAGGCGGGGTTACGGCCGGCCTCGGCCCCCAGGCCCAGGGCGCCCGCGCCGGCACTCACCTCTGGCTGGGCGGCAGCTCCACCTCGCTGTCCACCTCGCCCTCCTCCTCCTCGGACGAGATGCCCCGCTTCTGCAGGAGAGGTGCGGTCACCGGGAGCCCCGGCGCTGCGGCGCGGCCCCGCCCGGCAGCCGCCTTACCTGGCTCCGCGTCACCGCGGCCCGGTAGAGCAGCGCGGCGGGCGTCAGGTGCTGGGCCCGGCCCGCGCCCCGGCCCGCCGTCCCCTCCCGTCCGGGCCCCGGCGCCGGGGGCGGCTCCCCTTTGGCGCCCCCGGGGGAGTCCGGGCTGGTGGAGCCGGGCGCGGACCCCTCGCTCGGAGTGTCGCCCTGCGGCGGAGGGGGCGAGCCCGCGCCCCGAGCTCCCCCCGCCGCCCCCCGGCCGCGGGCCCCCAGCGCGGCGGACAGCAGGTCCGGGGAGGACGAGGACATCTTCCGGAGCAGCAGGTCGTGGTGGAGGCCGCGGAGGGCGGGCGGGCAGGCGTCCCAGGCCGAGGGCCCCGCGCCCAGGCCTCCCGGGCTCCCGAGGCCTCCGGGCTCGTGGGGCGGCAAGGCCGCGCGAAGCCCCGGCAGGTCCCCGCAGCTGCCCTTGGCGCTGGCCTTCCGGTGACGGGTCTTGCCGCGGCGACTCCTCCCGGGTGACGGGGGGCCCTTAGGACACCCAGGAAGCCCCACCCCACTGAGGGCTGCGTCCAGCTTGGGGAGCAGAGACTCTGTCTTGAGGATATCTGGCCTGGCGGGGGGGGGGGGGGGAGGGCAGGCTCCTGAGCGCCGCCGCCTCCCCTCCCCTCCCCACCCCCGCCCTCGCCTCAGGCCTCCCGCGCCCACCTTTTGCTGTGGGGTGACAGTTTCTGCGGCACGTTCCTCTTCTTGATGAGCTTCTCCATCGTGTTTCCGTGCAGGAGGCCCCGGGAGGGGTGGGACTTGAGGAGCCCCGGACACCTCCTTTCTAAGGCCTGCTCGCGCCTGAAAGGCAGACGGGCAGTTGGGTCCCTGAGCGGTGAGGGGCGGGGGTGAGGGGTGAGGTGTTGAGGGGTGGTGGGGTGGTGAGGGGTGAGGGGCGGTGGGTGGTAAGGGGTGGTAGGGGGTGTTGGGTGGTGGTGAGGGGTGAGGGGCGGTGGGGGGTGTTAAGGGGCGGTGGGGGGTGTTGAGGGGCGGTGGGGGGTGGTGGGGTGGTGAGGGGCGATGGGTGTTGAGGGGTGGTGGGGTGGTGAGGGGTGTTGAGGGGCGGTGGGTGGTAAGGGGTGGTGGGGTGTTGAGGGGTGAGGGGCCGTGGGGGGTGTTGAGGGGCGGTGGTGGGGTGGTGAGGGGTGGTGAGGGGTGAGGGGCGGTGGTGGGGTGGTGAGGGGTGTTGAGGGCGCCTACCTGAGCAGCTCCCGCTCCTTGAGCTCCAGCTGCAGCATGAGGGCGTTCAGCTCCATGTACAGGTTGTTGGCTCGCTCCAGCTTCCGCTCGTAGTGCTCCCTGATGTCCAGGGCGTGTCTGGAAAGACAGGCGGGTTTCCCACGGCCCGCTGGGCCGCTGCCCGCTTCCCCTGGAGCACATACCTGAGCTCCTCCCTCCTTCGCATCACCAGCTCCTCCTCCAGGCGGTGCAGACAAGTCCCTTCCGACTTAATCTTTTCAAAGTGCAGTTTCACCTCTTCCCGCCACTCTGCCTGGGGATGGAGAGACGTGGGGCGGGGTAAGGACCAGGCCACAGACTGCACTCCAGGGCCCCCACATGTCCTGGCCTCTTGTCGCCAAAGGCTCTGCCGCCCGCAGGGGTCCCACCCACAGCACACCTGGGACTTAAAGTAAGTCTCCTGGGGCGTGGACAGCACGTCGGCCGAGGCGATGTCCAGGTGCAGCAAGATCTGCCGGAAGGATGGGCGGTTTCGGGGTTTGCTGTTCCTACAGGGAATGTTGGTGAGATTTCAGGGGGGACAGAAGGGAAGTAGAGTCTTGCCCAGAGCAAGACATCTGACCCCTTTCGGTAACGGCGAAATATCATATAAACTTTGGGCTTTTGGGGGGGGGGGGGGTGGTGCCGGGCAGTTTGAGACAGGGTTTCTCTGAGCATCCCTTGATATCCTGAAACCCTGTAGACCAAGGGTCCCCCGAGCTCAGAGATCTGCCTGCCTCTGCCTCCTGGGATTTAATGGCATGCGCCACTACTGCCTGGCTCTAATATGTTTTTCTATCCCCAAATAAACCTTTTGCTGACTGGGTGTGGGGGCATACACCTTTAACGTGGTAGCCAGACAGGGCTACGCCTCCAGAAGCAACCCCCACCCCCCAGTTTACGTGACTCCATGGAAAGACTGGGAACATCAACAGTTCAGGCCTCCCCACAGCCCTGCTCAGGGCGGTCTTGCTTTGGAGACGGGGAAAGCCACAAACAGCTCAGCAGACTCTGAGTGAGTGTGCCACGTCCCCTGTCAGCGGGACTGTTCTTGGTACACACTCTGAGTCGGGGACCTTGCAGGGATTAGGGGGTTTGGCTTGCTGTTGCTAAGGATCCTGAGCCCAGGCTTCCCCAGCACCCCACAGCTCCTCAGCCCTGTCAGTCCAGTCTCCCGCTGGGCTGTCCTTACCAGCACTGGCGAAGCAGAATTTTAAAACCATCTGGGCAGCTGGAGGGCACAGGCAGATGGAGACTGTTGCTTCCAACACCCCAGATGATGGCTGAGGAGTCTACGTCTTTGTAGGGAATCTCTCCAGTCAGTAATTCCCACAGCACCACCCCGAAGGACCTGAGGACAAGAGCGTCACTTGGCGGTTATGCGGATGGGCTGGAGCTCTGTATGGAGCACTGGGGGGGGCCACCCCCGCTTACCAGATGTCCACCTTCTCAGACACGGGCTCGTTGCGGATCACCTCAGGGGCCATCCAGGCTACTGTCCCTGCAAAGGACATCTTGGTGCTCTTGTCACTCAGCTCCTTGGAAGTGCCAAAATCTGAGATCTTCACCACGTCGTCATAGGTGATTAGCATGCTGATAAAGAGGGAAGTCAGCCAGGGCCTACCATACCCCCTTCAACTCTGTCCTTCCTAGGATGATATTTGGGACACCTAAGGTAGAAAGGCTCGCCACAGCCTTTGTGTCACTTGGAAGAAGTTTCTCAGATGGGGAGGTGCCCACTGTTCCCGGGCAGGCCGCCCACCTGCGCATCAGCTTGCTCACTCACTTGGGGGATTTGAGGTCCCTGTGGATAATCTTGTGCAGATGCAGGTAATTCATGCCGCCGGCGATGCCCATGGACCAGTCCACCAGCAGGGAGGGCGTGACTGGGCGGCCGGCCCTGAGCACCTCATACAGCTGTCCTTGGGCGCAGAACTCCATGAGGATGCAGTAGCAGGGAGCCTGTGTGCAAACACCCCTGAGGGCCAGACACGGGTAAGGTCCGAGATGAGCTGTGTCTGCCTTGTGTCCTGGGACCCGCATCCCCACCCATGCCGTCTGGGGGGCTCCTCTGAGGGAGAGGGGATACATTCCTGGGTGAGGGGAGCCCCTGCCATGGAGCTCACTTGAAAGTGATGATGTTGGGGTGCTTCAGCTTTCGCAGGTGCTTGATGTCCGTCTCCTTCAGGTCTCGAACTTTCTTCACAGCCACCTCCTCCCCATGGAAGCGCCCCAGGAAAACAGCACCTTGAGCGCCTGAGCCAACCCACTGCAGGTCCAGGATCTCCTCAAAGGGGACTTCCCAGAGGTCTGCAGGCAGGAGGCACAGGGCCGCAGGCTGAGCCACTCGACACTCAGGGTTGCCCGAATATGCCAGTGGTGAAGCGACCAGGGAAGGAGGTGGCTGGGATGCGTGTAGGGTGTAGCTCATTTCTAGAGCACTTGGCTAGAGTGGAAAACTGAAGTTCCTAGGTTCAGTTTCCCAGGTCAGAGGGAGAAAATCCCAAGGTGCTGAGGATTCAGCTGTGCAGCAGGACACTCGGCACGTAGTACTCAACCCCAGAAACAACTGTTTAGGATAAGGTGGCTGCTAAGGGTGATGGGAAGTAGGGTGTCCTGCAGGGAGCTGGCCTACCTTCCTGCTGCTGCTTGTGCTCCGTGGAGTAGGCTTTGCCAATCATGGTCCAGACAGGGCGCAGGCAGCCAAACAGACCTTCGAGGAAGCCGCTGCCGCTCTGGCACTGCAGCCGCACCTCGTCAGCCCGGACTCTCGACGCTCGGCTCTCGGGGGAGCCAGTGGCCCCCCCAGGCCCCCCAGCATCCTGCTCATGCAGCTGCAGGACACTGTTGGCAAACGGCTCCGGGAGAGGCTCTCCGCCTGGGGAGGGGCTGGGCCCTCCCCCGCCCTGCCCACCCAGAGGCACCACATCTCGAAGCACACACTGGGTGGGCGTCAGGTCCTTCTCAGGGGTGCAGTCTGAGGTGTCCGGGTCCAGCTTGCGCATGGAGGCCTCGCTCAGGGCAGACACGAAGCCCCCAAACGATGGGGAGGGTGTTCTGGTGTCGTGCAGGCAGGCCATGGCTTCTGGAGCCAGGTGTGCTGAGCAGCGGGCCCTGTGAGGGATCGGGGGAGGGTCAGCCGCAGTCACTGCGGAGAACCCACTACCCAGCTGGAGTTGCCTGGGTGTCCTGGCTGTCCATGCCCCATGGGAAACCTGATGGAGCTGAGTTTCCTCCTGCCATCTCTGAGTGATGTAAGCACCACTCTGGCAGGGAGGAATGTACTCGAGTATCATTACCAGGTGAAGAAAGAAACAAAGCCACTTGGCGTTGGGGAGTCTGGGCGGCTGAAGTGGCTCAGTGGGGAACGAATGGGCTGGGCAGCCTGCTGTACTCCTCCCACCGATGCCCTCCGGCACACTCACACCCACAACTTTTTTAAAGTATCAAACTCCAGGACAAAAGTCTGAGCTGTGGAACATAAGGAATCCAGCATGTAGAAGGCCCTGGCCCGGTCGCTGCAGGACAGAGAGGTGGTGGAAGTGTGCTCTCACTGCACCACACTGAACTTGACTCACATACTTGACTGCCTGGGTGCCCAGCATGGCAGGGTCACAAACACAAGCAAGGGCTGGCAATGGCACAGCAGGTTTGAGCGAGCACTGGCTGGGCTTGCAGAGGACCTGACTTCGGGTCTCAGAACCTTCTCCATGACTCACAACCATCTGAAAGCTCAGTCTTGGGGACCTAAAACTCTCTTCTAGCTTCTCCGGTCCCTGAACACACATGCTGCATTCACAGACATGCAGCGAAACAGCGACACAGAGCAACCTGGTATGGTGGCACAAGCCTGTAATCCTCTCGATTGGGAGTCGTGGCCTGATGGATCTCTGAGTTCAAAGCCAACCTGGTTCGTACAGTGAGACCCTATCTCCAAAAAACCAACAGCAACAAAAAAAGCAAACCCACAGCAACCGCTCCTCTTTGCTGTGTAACCGTCGTTAACCCTGTGGCGCCTATTCGTGTCAGCTGAGGTTCGCCGCGCGCACAGGCAGGTCAAACCCACCCCTTTATACAAAGCCTCACTATGTAGGTCTGGCTGTCCTGGAACTCTATATAATATAGACTAGCCTGGCCTCAAACTAAGATAAAAGTGCGCCACTGAGTCCAGCCTCGGCATCACATGCTTTTACCTTGAATCTCAACCTCTTGCATACACTGGCGACACACGTAGGCACTCCCTCCTGTTGAGCTGTGTGAAAGGTGCTGGCAGGCTTTCACTCAGAGCTTCCCTAGTCAGCAGTCACTAACGTCAGGGCCTTCTCTTCTCTGCTCACAGGCACCACACAGGCCTCTTCAGGGGGATGTGATCTGTCTCCAGAACCATACCCTGAGCTATCCTATGCTCTCAGCACAGCTGGCAGGAGAAAAGGGCTGAGGGCAAAATTATCCCATGGGGTGGAGCTCTGGCCTCCAGCTTCCTTCTCATGAGTTCTTTATTAGCTGCTTTCTGACAGCCAAGAGAGGCCTCCTCTCACCTTTTCCCCTTCCCTATCACCACAGTCCCAGTTCACAGCTGTGTGCTATTTAAATAGCACTGGTTAAAAGTACAAGTCTAGAGCTGGAGAGAAGAGCACTGGCTGCTCTTCCAGAGGTCCTGAGTTCAATTCCCAGTTCACGATCTTCTCTGATGAGGTCTGGCGCTCTCCTCTGGCAGGCAGAACGCTGTGTATGTAATAAATGAATAAATGACCCTGAAATAGGAACCAGGCGGTGGGTGGGACGCTTGCCTAGCATGCACAAAGCACCTGCAGCAGCAGACTGCCTGCAATCCCAGCGCTGAGGAGGGGGAGGCACGAATCCGTTCAAGGTCATCTTTGGCTACACAGCACATTTGTGGGTGGCCTGGATACAGGAGACTGGGTCAAATAAACAAATGCATTGAGCACGTGGATGCTTGCCTAGAAGGCACAGGGCCTGGACTGCGTAAACTAGGGCCTGGGACACAGGCCTGTAACCCTGTAACCTTGGGAGGTGGAGCAGAAGGAACACACATTCAAGATCATCCTTGGCTAAATAGAGAATTTCAGGCCAGCCTGAGCTACATAAGACCCTATGATCTCCAAAAATAGATAATGAGCTCCAGAAATTTAGCTGGGCCTAATAGTACTTTCCCCACATCCCAGCACTTGAGAGGCAGAGGCCAGAGGATCCTAAGTTTGAAGCCAGCATGGGCTACACAAGATCTTATCTATAGGAAAAGGCAAACAAAAGTGCCATACACGTAGGACCAGGCCATGGATTGAGTTCCCAGCTGGCGCTACAAACTCCCTGAACTTTCAGGCTGACTTCAGGACTGGACAGCTAGAGCCACACTGTTCTCCCCGCTCTGCGCTTATTTGGGCCTCACTGGAGGAGTGTGAGGTTGGCAATTCCTGTGAATGAACCACAGGGTGTCGGGCTTGCTGTGAAGCAGAGAGTCTGAGAGGCAGGGTCTCAGCTTGCCTGACCATTTATAGTTCTTTCTCTTGAAGACTGTCACTTGGGTATAGGATGGGTTTGGGATGTACACAGTTGACAAGCACACAATCCTGTGACTAACCTTACCCACTGGGCTGGGATCAGAGGTTAAGAGCACTAGTTACTCTTGTAGAGGATTTGGGTTTGACTACCACATCCACATGGTGGCTTACAACCATCTGTACCCCAGTTCCAGGGGGTTCAACAGGCACCCACATGGTACACAGATATGCACACAGGCAAAACATTCATACACATAAATATAAAAATAACTTCATACAGTAAATATATATATAAAAAAATTCTAGCCAGGCGCACTGCTGCTTGACCGTAATCCCAGCACTCAGGGAGGCAGAGGCAGGTGGATCTCTGTGAGTTCGAGGCCAGTCTGGTCTACAAAGTGAGGCCAGGACATCCAGGGCTACACAGAGACACCCTGTCTTGAAAAACCAAAACCAATCAAAACAAAATTAAAATAAATTACACATTGTCATTCTGTTTTCTCTAGTCCTGTTACTGCCTTAGCTGAAGGCTCATTAGCTGTTCCCACCTGGCCAAGGACAAATGAAGAGTTATTTAAGTTCTTTCTTAAGCTTCCAGCTTCTGAAAGATCCAAAACATAAACTCATCAGCCCTGTCTGCTTAGATCACCTAGCGGCTCCCGCATGTGGATGCTGAGGCCGCCCTGGACACAAAGCTGCATCATGGTTCTAAATTATGGTTTGTTATCCTTTAGCAGAAACGCGTTGCTGCAATTAACCTCAACACACACAGCAGCGTAAGGTAGGAGGGCGGAATGCTTGCACAGCCTGGAAGAAGCCTTGAAGTCAATCTCCAACAACACACAGCGGGCACAGCGGCAAACACAGCAGAACGGAAGTGAGGGGGTCAGAAGCTGAGGGTCACCTGTGGCTTCAGAGTGAGTTTACAGAGTAAAACTTTGTCTTCAAGAAACCCCATAAACACGCAGTCCTGAGGAAGAGGGCTCACAAGAGCTCATATCGCTTCCTTCCTGTGGCCCTGTATTACTGAGACTATTCACAAAGCTGGAGTCAGGGCAAGACATTTTGACTGGTGTAGTGCTCTCGCAAATTAACCTTCACTCAGGGTCCTATTAGCAAACCTAATTAAACCCTGAGGGTCACGAGAATGATGGGACAGCGGAGGGGGTGACGGCTGGGAAGGAAGGATGGGGCCGGAGAGGAAGCTGGGGGTTGCGTGCTGACCGCTCAGGGAGGCAAGACCCCGCACCCGCGAGTGCCTGTAAGCTCGCGCGTGCGCACACGCACCACCACGCGCACGCAGGTGCGAGCGGCGGCCTTCAATCCCAGCGCTCTGGAGGCAGAGGCAGGAGGATCTCTGAGATCGAGGCCTGGCGACACAGCGCGTCGAGGACAGCCAGCATGTCATAGAACAAATACCTCTGAAGGACATTTGGACCCCTTGTCTCCAAACAAAAACGACCCTCCGAGCCCCTAAAAGTTATACAAGCCCGGTGGCGCCGCGGCCAACACGGTTACCTCAGGGGCGCCGTCCTGCGCCGGGCTCACTTCACCCTGGCAGTCTTCCGCGCAGTCGCAGCCGGCCCGGCTAAGGCCCTCCGGAGCGGGCAGGCCCCGCTCGGCGGCTCCACTCAGCCTCCACCCCGCGTCGGCAGCGCTGCGCTACCCACCCAGGGCGCACATGCTCCGCGCGTCCCGGCGCCCTGCACCCTGCACCCTGCAGCAGCCTCCCGGGAAGGCATCCTCGGCGCCCCGCGGGTCCGGACAGCAGGACCCCCGGCCTGCGAGCTGCCCGCACATGCACGCGGCGCGCGTCCTCGGGGCGCGGAGCTGCGCTCCCGCCGGAGCCGCCCGGGGCTGCAGCCCCCCTCCAGCGGCCCGCGGAGCCGAAGGGGTTACGGCTACGGCGCCCCCTCCCCAGCCGACCTCCTTCCCGACCGTCACGTGGGGGGCCGGGGGCGCGGCTGGGGGAAGGGCTGGGCGCTGCGGCGTAACCATGACGACCGGGCCCGTGAAGTCACCGGGACAAGATTAGCCCAGGGTCACGTGAACGCGAGGCGAGGGCGGGGCCGCGCCGGAGCCCGCCCCTGCCCCGGGCAGGCCGGCCAGTCGAGGCTGCGCGGGCCGCTCGCACGCCCCTCCGGCGGCCGCCGGAGCCCACCTCCCCGAGCTCCGCGCGCGCCGACTCCTGGGCTGCGCACCTGGGGAGAAGAGTAGCTGGGATCGAGGGCAGGCTCGCGGGTGCTGCGGGGGCACGGTACCACACAGACCTTAAAGACACGGAGGTGGGGAGACTAGAAAGGAACCGTCAGAGAGGAACTGGGTGAGAGGCTGGCCAACGGCTTCAAGCCTGGAATGGCCTGGAAAGCACAGAGCCCTGGGAAGATGGAGACGAAAGGGGATGAGAAACAAACCACCTTCCCTTTCCTGGGCTGTTCCTATCTGCACGCTGAGTTCTGGGCATTACAACAACAGGCCTTTGGAGATTTTTTTTTTTTTTTTCATCATCTGGATCACAACTAGGTTTAGTCACAGGGAGGACGACATCCTCAATCAGCCTGCAGCACTGCCTGCCTCAGATCACGCAGGCATCCCCAGAGGACCCTGTGGAATCCAGGGCCAGCAGCTGAGGGCAGGCGAGAAGCCATTCCACCTGCTCGCCTGTTAAGGTAGTGGGACTAGCTGCCGAGCAGGAGATGAGACCCAGGGAGAGGTAGGGCATTTGGCGTGCTCAGGGTACCCTGCCACCCCCAAAGCTAACGACAGCTGTTCCAGATTGACCTGAAAGAACAGGAGGAGGGGTGAGGGCCCCCAGGGAGCCAATGGTAATCTGGAGATTCCTCTTTCCCAGCAAATGTCCCCCTTTCTGCTTCCTTTATTCCTGACCCACCAGCTGGGTCTCATTGCCCCCAGCTGGGTGTCGGCGCCAGGGCTGGGGGCTCGGGGCGGGGGGGGGGGCTGTCTCCCTGGCCATCAATTATGCAGGGCCTGGGGGCACAGAGGAGGGGTTTCTGTCGCTCTAAACCACAAGGACTAAGTGCCTTATCTACTATGTGAGAGGCCAGCTCTGCTGTACAGGCAGGTTAATCAGGATCCCACAGGAAGGCTACAGCCCTGGACCTGTAAGTCACCTTCACCTCCTCCTCAGGCCTCCTTTTTTCAGGCATGAGGGGGCTGCAAGGCTGTTTCAGGTGAACTCTGGGTTCTCTGCAGCTCCCTCCTGCTCTAACAGCAGAATCCAATGGCTTGCTTGTGCGCTGGCCAGTCCTGGAGGCTTTGCTCAGAGGTGTGGCCATCTGTCCATGCCTTGAGTTCTCACACTGAACTCTCCCTTCCTGCCTGGACCTCATTTTCCTCTCAGGCTGAGAGTCTACTTTCTTCTAATTAGTCTGAAGAGAAGCCACAGAGGGAAAAGTGACCATGACTCCTGGTCCTCTGTCTTGAAGGCTTTGAGACCCGTAAAGGATGTTTCTAATAGAGTATACCTGTGCCTCCTGCCTACACATTCACCTTCCCTTCTGACAGGATCCATGGCCCTCACCCCAGAGCTCTCCCAAGATGGAAGGAACTCCCACTCTCTTAGGGCCCTTGAAAAGAGATGTGGGGAAAACACAGACCCCCAGGTTCTGAGGTTCTCTATTATATACTTCTGCGGTAAGGTGGGCAGTGAGGGGCTGGAGATGTGCTGCTCAGGGTCCACGAGCCAGCAGTCAACTGAGAGGGAGAAGAGGGATGCAGCAGCCCTGCCTCTGTGAGACTCCCACCTGGCTTTCAGGGTAGAGGAGGAGTAGGAAGAGGAGGTAGGTGCCCTGAGCTATGCCTGCTCTGTTGTCTTCCCAACTAGCTGGACACCAATTCTCTCTTTGTGGGTTCCAGGAAGCCAGCTCTCCTGTCCAACCAGAAAAAAAGGAGACTTGGTCTCTGACCTTCTGCTGCCCTAGAACTACTGATAATTTCAGGTTTCAGTGGTCCCATGACAGCAGGCATGCTGGAGGACCCACACCTGCCTCTGCAGACTTCGAGGGTGGCCTGGAGCCCTGCACCTCATCCTCACCCCCAAGCTGACTCCCTCTGCTTAACTACCAGTCATGTCACTAGGCCCTTCTGAAGGCTGAGGTTAGCGCTCAGCCTCGCCCAGAAGATCACAGCAGCAGAGAGCAGCAGCGTGGCATGGACCCCAAGCTCTCCCACCGTAAGCCAGGCCTGGAAGAAGCTATTTGAAAGAATCCCCGTGAGCTGGGAAGTGCCTGCAAACTCAGACCAGGGCAGGCAGATGTTGGGTCTAACCTAAGATACACAGTGAGATCTTGCTTTCAGAAAGGCAACAGGTAAGATTACGGACATTGCAGCTCCTCTTTAAACAAGAGAAGGTCTCATGTAGGACTTGAACTACTGTCTCTACCGCCCATCTGCTGGGATTACAGGCAAGCACCGCACATAGCTTATCAGTTCTCCTCTTTTGTCTATATTATTTCAGTATAATTTTGAGGTGGTTTTTTTTTAATACAAAAAATGTTTTTCCTTTTTTTTTTTTTTTAAATGGGGCAGGGTTTCTCTGTGTAGCCTTGACTGTCCTAAAACTCAAGGGACTGGGCTAGCCTCCAAGTCAGAAATCTGCCTGCCTCTGCCTCCCTAGTGTTGGGATTAAAAGCCTGTGCTTCCACCACCTGGCTTTTACATTTTTTAAAACTGCAAATAAATAAAATTTGAGTAATAACCATCTGTTCCTGCCCCTGACTGGCCTAGGTGTAGGGGCAGCAGGGGCCACCGTTGCTTCTGATTGGCTGGTGGCCTGCAGTGTGAGATCCACTAACAAAGCTGCTCTGCATCTAATTGTGGACAGGGTGCCTCTGTCAGTCCTGGTGCTTTGGGTAAGAACAGTGGGACACACCTGGCTTCAAGTCCTACCTCTAGCCACAGGCCCATCTTTTCTCTTTTGAGAGAGAGAGATGGGCTCTCACTGTGTACCCCTGGCTAGCCTGGGCCTTGCTGTATAGACCAGGCTAGTTGTAGAGCCCTGCCAGCCTTGGCACCCTGAGTACTAGGACATGCTGTCTGCTGTGCGGCCGCAGCCCCCGGCCCTCCTTGCATGTTGATTATTTAGCTCACTGAGCACTGAAATTGGCACTGACACTGGCTAACAGGTCTTGAATACCTAACTCACTTCACGTCCCTCCTCCCTAAAGCAAGAGATGCTGACTTAGCTATGTGACAGGCAGTGCTGAAGTAACCAAATGAAGTTCTTGGCCCGCACCTGGCACACAGGGCGCGCTCTATAAACGGCAGTCATGATGTTTCACACAAAGTACATGGAAACAACTTTTTTTTTGGAAACATGGGCCTATGTCACCCAGACTGGACTTGAACTTGCTAGGTAGTTAGATTCGTTCATGGTCCATGAACTGATCCTTCTGCCTCAACTTCCCCAGTGTTGGAAGAAGTGAAGCCTCACGGCGGGCTTTATGAAGTGCTTAGGAGCAAACCCAGGGCAGACTCTTGGAGCCTCGGCTGCCTTGAAGCTTGCTACACAGACAGGCTGGCCTTGAGCAGCTCACAGGGATGCACTGGCCTCCAATGACTCCACTGTGCTGAGATGAAAACCTTGCAGCAGCCATCACACTCAAAACAAGAGGTAATATCATACTGAGGACCCAGGAAGAAAGAGAGGTAGAGAAACGAGCAGAGAGAGACAGCTGCAACCTGCCAGCCCCGCTAGCACGGTCCTCAAAGGCTCGGCTATTTAGGAGGCAGGAGAATTGAAAGTTCAAGCCCTGTTGGGCAACTTAGTGGCACTGTGTCTCAAAATTGAATTAATTTTTTTTTTTTTAAAGTTGATACTTGGTGGTAGAGAGCTTGACCAGAATGTGTAAGGCCTCGGGGTCAATTCCTAATACCATAAGTAAACAGACAAAACTAATGATGAGGGCTCTCCCTTGGAGTGCCCTACTCCCCCGAGTGCACACATGACCAGGCTTTCTGAGGCAGGTGGACAAACTCTCTTGCAGCTACCATGTCCTCTGCGCACACCCTCGCATTGGGTTCCCAGAGAAGCCGCCTCCTCCATGCTCTTACTCCCCAGGCATGGGCAGCAGAGAGGCAGACAGGCAGGCTCTGGGTCCTCTCACCTTGTCATGACTCCCCACCCCCAGCAGTAACTGCCTTTTCCAGGGCTCTTGCTGTGAGGAAACCTAGGGACCCTGAGCCACACCTTCCACCTGTCTCTACGCAGCCTTGGGGTCTTCCTGGAAGTCAACAGTTGGTTGACCTTTCCCTCCTCAAGTGTGACACACGAGGTGGCAGGACTCTTGGTCTGGTCTCCTTCCTTCCTAAACCCTCCTTGCTGTTGGGCGCTCGGGATGAGCCTCTGGCTGAAAACCAGAGCACCCGGAACCACGGAGGCAGCCCGAAGAATTGGAAGAAGGATTAAGTTGAGGCACCCATTGTGCTTCAAGGGGCCTGGCATGTGTGAAGGCCAAAGAGGCAGCAGACAAGAGAGCTGCAAGGCCCTCCCTTCATTTCTACTACTGTTTATAGAGCCCACCGTCTTCTCTTCCCACCCTCCGCCCAAGCCTTGGCTATCAACATCCTAAGCTAAGGAGTTGGGTTAGAATGTGGGGGAAAAGAGGAGGGGTTTTTGAATCGCCTGACCTGGGAGATGGGTTAGGGAAAGCAGGAGGGAGCAGGCATAAGAGAGAGAAAGCCACACACAAATGGGGGAGGGGCGCAACAGCTGGACGGTAGGAAATGCCACAGCTGGAGATTAGAGGCATTACAGATGGAAGGGGAGAAGGACCCCGGCGGGGCATGCAGGAGTAGGTGCCGCCTAATTTTCAGGTGGAGCCTATTAGGTGCAGGTGTGGGGGAGGGGGATGGTGGGTACACTAGGCCTTGCCCTTCCATCCCTTCCCTGGAGGGAGGCCACAACTCTCCCTCCTCTCTCGGTCTTGAGGAGAAACGAGGACGTGCTCTTGTCCGCTGTCCTTTAAGTCTTCCCCTGGCCACCCTCATCCCCACGTAATCCACCACAGCGCTGGAGGCTCCTGGTCTCCAAGCTGGGCCGCCGCATCCCTCAGCATCCCTGCTTCTATCTCCAGGCGTCGGGTCCAGGTCTCCAGCTCCTCCAACCCACGGCCTCAGCATCCTCGACTCACCTCCTCCCTCACCACGCCACGACTGTATCCCGACCCTCCCTCCGCACCAGGATCCCAAGACCCGAACCCCTTCCTGCCCCCCACCCCCACAACTCGCCCAGGCTCTCACCTCGGGGGCTCCGCGGCCGCAGCACAAAAGGCGGCGCTGCTGCAGCTCCGCTCCGGATGCTGCTCCCGCCTCCTCCTCCTTCCCTCCTCCCCCCGTTGCCCTCCACCGGACCCGGGGCGCTGTCACCGGCGATGCTCGCGTGAGGCTCAGGTGCTCGGGCGTCGGCCCCAGCTGTCGGCGCCCACCCCCTACTCTAAGCCCTGTCCCCTCTCGACTTGAACTCCCGCTCCTTCCGAGGCCCCCGCCCCTGGCCCCCCGGGACGGACACGCCCTGAGCGGGGGATGCTGCACAGGAGCCGCCGGCCTCTTAAAGGAGCCCGCGGCTGCCATCCGGCGCGCTCCAGGCTCGTTCCGGGCCCGCCGAGGCTCTGCGCCTCCCTCCTGGAGATGTCCTACGGCAGTCCCGCTTCGGGCCTCATGCGGATTCCTAGCAGTCCCGTGTGGCCTGTCTTTTAGGCTCTTCCCTACACCCCGAGAGAGCAGCCCCTCAGACAGAAGACACAACGGTCTGGCGACGGTCCCCTGTCACACGGACATCGCCAGCTGTCCTTCGCTTGTCACTGCTCGTGTCACCCAATTGGAATCCACCTAGTCGCAGGTCCCTTCCCACTTTAGGGCTCCAGGGTGGCCCCTCCAGAGTCCTCTACCTGCACCTTCCTAACGGGCCCTCTGCTCCTAGACCCACTCCCAGGACTCTGAAGCACGTTTCTCGTGGGATCTCTCTCCAAGGTCACAAGGCTTCCCCTACACCTTTCACTTGGCGGCATCAAGGCTTCGGGGGCCCGAAAGTACTGCTTCGGCCCTGGGCTCGGCGCGCACTTTAGCCCGCGGGTTACTCTCTGGGCGGAGGCTGACGAGCACAGCCAAGGGCCGCCTAATGATTCGGGCAGCTACACGGAGTCAACGGAGAGGGGCGGGGAGAGGGCCAAGCCCCGGGAAGCGGCGGGTCTTCCGGGGCCCGAGGAGCCCCGGGGAGACAGCGTGAGGGAGACTGGGCCTTGACACGGCACGCGCGCTCGGGGGTGCGGGCGCACAGGTGAGGCCCAGGCTGCGGGGCCGGCCCGCCTCGGGAAGAGGGCTCCCGTCCCGCCCCGTGCCCGCCCTCGGGGCCCGGCGACCAATGTGCGGGCGCCCGCGGGAAGTCGCGCTCGGCCAATGGGCGCCGAGGCCTGCCGGGGCGACGGGAGGACGCGGGGCGCCTGGGGGCTGTAGTTCTCGCGGGGCGCAGCCCCCCGCCGCCCCGCCCCGCCCGCCCCCTCTCGGCGAGGACGCACGCTCACGGCGCGGGCCCGGGCGGGGGCGGCGCGCGGGGAAGGAGCGGGTGAGCCAGAAGCCTGCGAGGCCTCCGCGGAGGCCCCGCTCCTCCCAGAGGGCGGCGCGACCGCCCGGGCCGGCCTCGCGGAGGGCTGTGGGGCGGGCAGCCCGGCTCCCGAAGACGGCGCCGGGAGCCGGGCGGGCGGGGGACTGCAGGTCCCGGCATGCCCCGCGGCGGGCCCTACCGGCCGCGACTCCGGGCTCGGCCCCGGCCCTAGCTCGTCGGCCGTGTGCTGGGGCGCGCGGAGGCTGCGGTCACGGTGGCGCCCGCGGGGACGGAGGAGGGAATGAGTGAAGAGGAACAGGGCTCCGACACCACCACAGGCTGCGGGCTGCCCAGGTGAGCTGCCTCGCCGCGGTCCCTGCAGGACGATAAGCGTGAGGCGGTGCGGCGGGGTGGTGGCGCGGCCCCAGCATGCACCTGGCCTGAGGGTTGTTCCCGGCAAGCACTGGGGTAGTGGGCAGAGGTTCCCGGCATGCACTGGGGCGGTGGTCACCGCCTCCAGGTCTGGTTTGGGATTGGCTTGATTCCCAGGCTGCACTGGAGCCGTGGGCTCGATGCCCCGACGTTCAGTGTAGTTGGTGGGTACTGGATTCCCGAATTGCCTCGTGCCGGGGGAAATGCACATCCAAGCAGCTCTACGTCACGGGATCCTTCGCCTTAACTGAAAACAGTACATTCTCCCCTTGCTTTGGGACCTTGCTTTCCCTCCTGCACCGTAACTGTTAACCCAGTCAGTGGATGCTCCTGCCTGGGACCGATGACCTGGCCAGGTCTAATGTGGCAGTGCCTGGCCAGGGGGGTGCCGAAAGGAGAGGTGTGGTGATGTTGGTCTGTGCCCCTTCCCAGCATAGAGCAAATGCTGGCCGCCAACCCGGGCAAGACCCCGATCAGCCTTCTTCAGGAGTATGGGACCAGAATAGGAAAGACGCCGGTGTACGATCTTCTCAAAGCCGAGGGCCAAGCCCATCAGCCGAATTTCACCTTCCGGGTCACCGTTGGCGACACCAGCTGCACTGGTGAGGAAGGCTTGGGCAGCCTGGCTGGGGTGTGCATTCACAGGGCCCGTGGCTTAAGAGCGTGGGCTGGTTTTACAGTCCTCTCCTTTAAGGCTGGGGAGGGAGGGAGGAGTTTCCGAGGGCAGACCACCTTCTGGATTGGAACGGCCATGGAAGGTGGCCCTAAGCGACGCACTGGCCAGAACAGGCAATGGTGCAGGGATCTGCTTCGTTATCACCCCAGGGGAGAAGTAAATGAGAGGCTGAACTCCTCTTGGGTATTTGGGACAACGGGACACTGCTGGCCCTCAGGTCTCACACCAAACAGGAGTAGGTTAGTATCAGAAATTAAGCGGCTGGCTCATGTCACCATTGCCTATTTATTGAGGGAAAAGAAAGGAAGACAGACGGACACCCCCTCCACACATATGCATCACGTTGGCACTCAGAAGTCCTGTCTGGTTTGACGTAATTATGGGACCTAATTGAAAGATAAGAGCTGTTCTAGGCCTGTTTCTGTTGCCTTGATGAAATTGCTTAACCAAAAGCAGCTTAGGGGAGGAAAGGGTTGATTGGTTTACAGTTCCAGGATACACTCATCATCAGGGGAGCTAAGATAGAAAACATCCGTAGTCAAGAGCAAAGAGAATAAACTCATTGTTGCTGCCTCTGACCAAGGAGCTCACTTCACTGCCACAGAAGCATATGTTCCATGCTGGTTGGCAGATTTACTTTTCTTCCTTTTTTTTTTTTGTTTTTTTGAGACAGGGTTTCTGGTGTAGCCTTGGCTGGCCTGGCTTTGTCACCAGGCTGGCCTTGAACTCAGAGATGTGCTTGCCTGCTGGGACTGAAGGCACACGCCCGGCGGCAGACTTGCTAGGTTTCTCACATAGTTGAGGACCACCGGCTTAGGGATGGACCACAGTAGCTGGCTGGCGTTTCTAATCAGTTAGCAGTCAGACGGTCTCTGAAGACCTGCCCACGGTCTCATCTGGGCAGCTCCTTGGTGAAGGCTCTCCTTTCACATGGCCCTGGGTTGTGCCAAGTTGACAGTGAAAGCTAAGTAGGACAAAGGCCATCCCAACGATCAGCAGAACCTTCCCAGTTCTGGCAGGGGAGGTTGATCAGAGGGCTGCACACTCCCTCTGGCCTTAAGGAGAATGGCTGTGGGGGCTGGTTTCTCTTCTGTCCTGCCAGTGACCTCCAGTATTGCCCACACCCCTTTTCTTAGGTCAGGGCCCCAGCAAGAAGGCAGCCAAGCACAAGGCAGCTGAGGTGGCCCTCAAACACCTCAAAGGGGGGAGCATGCTGGAACCAGCCCTGGAGGACAGCAGGTGAGGGAGGCACAGCCAGGGCACACTAGAAGCCTTGCTGAGAACCCAGGCTTCCACACTGCCTACCTCTCTCCCTGAGCCTGGTCTGGTGACTCGTCGCCACCCTCACCTGGCCCCTTCCTGAGTTTCCTCCAAAGCTGAACAGGGTGTCCCTAGGGTACCCCAGAGTAATGGCCAGCCCCGCTCACAATGGCCTGGGGTAGGGCATGGGGGTGGAGGCTGAGGCTGAGAAGTTGGGCCCGGCATGCCCCGTCGTTCTAGCAGGATGGCTTTCCATCTCCCACACTCAGGTTGGACCTTGTTGGGTAGGAAGAGAGGCCCCCAGCCCAACCTTGGTACTTGTGGGCCAGTGTGGGTCAGCAGAGGACCCCAGGAGAGCTGTTGCTGAGGCTCAGAGTGTGCGTCAGAGGGAAGAGCTGGGAAGGACCTTAACACTACATGGGTGTGTCCAAGGCCCCCTTCCCCTCGGGAAGTTCTTTTTCTCTCCTAGACTCCTCACTGCCTGAGGACACTCCCGACGCTGCTGCAGAAGCTGCGGCTCCTGCTCCATCTGCCGAGCCGACCAGGTACCTTGGGCCCCCTGACATCTGGCTCTTAGCCTCACAGCCCTTGGACCCAGGCAGGTCCGGATGTGGAAGCTAGGAGTCAGCAGTGGAGTAATTGAAACGTTTGCACTAGCTGGTTGGTAAGCATGATACAGGAGGTGATTTAAGGTGGTTATGCAGCTGTGTGAAGGGTGTTAGTTTGTTAAACATCTCTCAGGCTCCACAGCACATCCCGTGTTTGAGCCCCAGAAGTACTTCCGGGACTGGCTTTGTAGCCCCTAAACCTGTAATTGGGAGACTGCGGACAGAACTCCACCATCTGCCTCGGAGCCTGTAGGGCTTCCATTGAAGGGGGTTAGGGAGGGAGGAGCATTGGGATGGCAGTGGTTGGCGCTTGATCCATGAGCAGCTGAGGAGGAACCGCTTTCCTCAGCACTGGCCTGGGCCTTTTTTTCCTTCAGGAGCCCTCCTATGGAGATGCAGCCCCCTGTCTCTCCTCAGCAGTCTGAGTGCAACCCTGTCGGTGCTCTGCAGGTGTGCCTAATCTTTTTTGTGCGTGCTGTCTTCTGTGAACTAGGGCTGTGAGGCAGGGTATGTGTACTTGGAGGGGGTGGTCATCTCACCCAAAGGCTGAGGCTCCTGGGTAGAAGGCCACCGGGCTACCCAGCCTCTCCTCGCTCAGCCCCGGGCTCCCTGTGCCTTCCTTTCAAGGAGCTGGTGGTGCAAAAAGGTTGGCGCTTGCCAGAGTACATGGTGACCCAGGAGTCTGGGCCTGCTCACCGCAAAGAGTTCACCATGACCTGCCGGGTGGAGCGTTTCGTTGAGATTGGTAATTGGGAAAAGGGAGCTCACTCACCTCTCTCTGCCACACTCTAAACCTGAGCACAAGGTGATCTTTGCCTGACTGTGTTCGATCCCAGCTTGCTTTCTTTCTCCTACCCATCTTTCCCCCTCTTCTCTGGCCTGCTAATCCTCAGTAGAGAAGAACTGGCCTTCAGCTCCTAAGTGGTACCCCACTCGGAGACCTTCAGTCTGAGTTTAACCCAGAGGCAGAGCACTGGTCTGTTAGGAATCCCCACGTCCAGCAGTCCCTTCCCTACACTCAGGCAGCGGCACTTCCAAAAAGCTGGCGAAGCGCAATGCAGCAGCCAAAATGCTGCTCCGAGTGCACACGGTGCCTCTCGACGCTCGGGATGGCATGGATGCAGAGCCCGAGGACGACCACTTCTCCATTGTGAGTGGCGGGTGTGGGCACCCTGTACTTCCCTGCAGGACACGGTGGGGAACTGGGCTGGGTCTGGACCTGCTTCTCTTCCAGTTTCCTGCCAAACCCCAGGGCCCAGCAGTCTCCTTAGCCTGTATGTGAGCCCACTGGTGAAAGCCCGCTTAAGGCAAAGCCTCTGGAGGCAGCTTTTACTGGGATAAGGAAGGCCCCTGGCCAGCAGGTCAGGGTCCAGAAGTTAACATGCCCGATGCATGGGTCTCCCGCTCCTAAGCTGCTTTCTCGCTCTCCTCTCATTAGGGTGTCAGCTCCCGCCTGGATGGACTTCGGAACCGGGGGCCAGGCTGCACCTGGGATTCCCTGCGCAACTCTATGGGAGAAAAGATCCTGTCCCTTCGCAGTTGCTCCATTGGCTCTCTAGGGGCTCTGGGCTCTGCTTGCTGCAGCGTTCTCAGCGAGCTCTCTGAGGAGCAGGCTTTCCACGTCAGCTACCTGGATATTGGTATGGCCAGCTCGGGGACTGGGGTGGAGGGGGCTGGACCAGAGCAGCACGAAGGAGTTGGGAGAGGGGGATGCACACCGTGTGGCCCCCCCCCCCCCCCCCCACTGAGCCCCTCTACCTTGGTTTCCAGAGGAACTGAGCCTGAGTGGGCTGTGCCAGTGCCTGGTGGAGCTGTCCACCCAGCCAGCCACCGTGTGCCATGGTTCTGCAGCTACCAGGGAGGCAGCCCGAGGTGAGGCTGCTCGCCGTGCCCTCCAGTACCTCAGGATCATGGCAGGTAGCAAGTAGCTCCCTGACTGCAGTGCTGGACGTGCGCCCTTCTGCCCCTGGGCCTCTGCACTGACCTGGCTCTGGAGCCCTCCAGAGGGGCCATCTCTACCGCTGACACTGCCTGACTGCTTGGAGACTGAGGAAAGCGCAGGCAAGCCAGGAGCCACAGGGCCCGGCCAGCGCAGGGTTTGGCCTCTGTCTATGGATGACGAATGGAAAGAGGAATTCTATCGGAGTCCAGAATAAATGCTGCTCTCTGGCTTCCCAAACCATGCTCTCTCTGGCCCATGCAATCTCTGGTTATGAGATTGTCCAGAATAAATGTAGTGTGTTTATTCTTCCTCGGAGTTCCCTGTTCTTTTTGCTTTAGGCAGGAAGCTAGGTGCAGTAGCCTTGTGGAGCTCTTAGCAGAATGCTTGGAGTTTGAGTGAAGGGGAAGACACCATAGCTACTGCCCTTGGGCTCCCATCCATACACGTGGACTCAGAAGCCAGGCCATTTTATTTTATTTGGGGGTATACAAGGCACACAGGGTGGCGATTCTGCATGCAGACATATTAGAGGGGATGATGTTACTTCTTTCCAAAGCGCTGCGGGGCTGCCAGGCTCCAGAACTCCGCAGCCTGAGGATTTAGCTGCTCCTTACTCCAGGACCCCCAGGTACTTCTGCCAAACCTTAGGAGACAGGCACCCCTAGCTGGAGCCCTCTAGCTCAGCGTCCCTCATGTCTCCCTCTGCCCTCCACCCTCCCAATCTCTGCCTGTTGAAACTCACCTCTGGGGCTGAAACAGGAAGACTGGGCTTCTACCAGGTCTCCCCGTGGCCTGGAGCAGAAAACGCAAGAGGGACCTGCGGGTCTGGGCATCTTGTGGTGGGTGGGGTCCCTTTTCTTCTTCCTGTGATGAGAGGTGGTGGGGAGGGAAACCAGCAGTGTCTTCCTGGACAGTGAAGACACAGGGGAAAGAATGGCTTCTAGGGGCAGCTTCCATGGGCTGAGAAGTCATTTCCCTCCCTTAGAATCCAGACCTCATGAAGACCTTAGCAGCCTGGGAATACCAAACCCTGCATAGTAAGTTTCAGCTGGGGGGGGAAATGGTGGGGGGGGGGGTAGGGCAGAAGGGTGCTCACTCACTGAAATGACCTGGGCTCCACCCCGGCTCCCCAGCTCTTCAGTGTGGCCCCAGTCCAGCAGCAGCAGCAGCAGCAGCAGCACAGCAGCCCGCTTGGAATCCATGCTGCCTTCTGCCTCTCCGCTAGTTTACCCGTTCTCTTATACTTGCTGTCCCTGCACCCTCTCAGCAGCAGCCTAGAGGGAAATCTAGACAGGCAATGGAAATGCATGGCTCCATTAAGAGCCAGCTGGGACCCCTCCCATGCCCCCCGGAGACTTTCCGCTCTCAGCTTCCTACCCCCAGCCTAAGCCTGGAGTTATAGACTTTATTAGATGCATAAATCCTGTCTCCAGAGCTCAGGAAGCATCATTAATTGCAGACAGTTTGTCAGAGCTAGGCCCTGGGGGAGGCTTCCAAGAACCCCCAATCCTTCAACAGGTTGGAGAGTGTCAGTTGCTCACCCCTGGCTCTTGATGTCCTCAATGGGAAGGAACTAGGATTAAGAGTGGGCTAGGGTGACCCAGCTTGGTCTCCACCCCTGCCTGGGACCACAGCCCATTCCTTTCCTCACTTTGTAAATGTTGTGGACAGGCCCATCTTTGCCCGAGAGACCTGGGGAACAGGCCTCCACAGCGGAAACTCTGCTGCCACCTTGTGGCCAACGCTCGTCACTGCCAGGTCCAACCATTTGCCTTTTCCAGCCCCACACCTAGGCGGGCTGACTTAAGGGCAGAGTCCTTTTGGGGATGGTGGGGCGGTGGAGCATCACGCCGTTCAATTCCCTCTGGTCAAGCACCGTCTTCCTGGCTCTGCTTCTAATGTGCTGCTGGAGCTGGCAGCGAGGGTCCTGCTTTAGGAGAGACCGTCACTCAAAGTCAGGGCAGCTGTCCCTCACATCACTGCAGTGCAGGTGCTAGTGGGCCACGTGTGTCTCCAGCCTAACCTGAAGGACCACATCAAGGTCCTACCCCAGCCATGAGCAAAGCAAGCTGTCCACGCTCTCAGCCCGACTTTCCTCAGTTACATTCGGGAACAATAAAATTAACTGCTCCCCAGGAGAAAACGGAAAGCACAGAGCTGGCGTTTTCCAAATGTCAGGAATAAAATGTGATTACCTTTGCCTTCTTCCCACCCTGGTCCTGGGGAACTTACCCTTTCTTTGCACACATTCTCCTGATGCTGAGTGGGCCTTAGCCATCAGAGGTCTTAGCTTGCACTTCGAAGTCTCAGAACGTCTCATTCCATATTAAAAGCCTCTCACATATTTGAAGACTTCATTTATCCATATCTCTTTTGTTCAACAGGAAAGTTCTTTACTGGAACCAACTTACAAGAGATGTCTTCAGATTTATTTATTTACCTATATCTGTCCGTCCGTCCATCCATCCATCCGGTTCTGGGGATTAAATCCAAACCCAGGGCCTTGTGTGCTAGACAAGTGTAGGCAATTGCTCTACTGCAGTGGTCCCTCACTTCTGGACTGGGTTTCTATCTGCATGTTCTAGATGCAGTGCATCCAGGCTAGGATGAGCCTTGTAGGCTTTGTCTCATGAATCTCCCACCTGTGTGTCTATGTTTAAGACGGGGTCTCAATACTCAGCCTGGGCTGGCCTAGAACTTACTATGTACACCAGGCTACCTCTGCCTCCCAAGTACTGGGATCAAGGCATGTGCCACTATGCCCAGCTTGTCTGTGGTTTTCTATGACTGGACCCAGTGCTCTGGCCTCTGTTTTCAGTCGTTCCCCCCCTCCCCCAGGTGCTGGAATTAAAGACAAGCACAGACCTGTACCACCATACCTGGCAGGAATTCAGTTTTTTAATCTTTGCTCTCATAATTCACTCTGTGACTAATGTAAATTTCAGGGGCAGAGGGAGGCAGGTCTCTAAGTTGTAGGCCAGTCTGGTCTACAGAGTTGAGTTACAGGACAGCCAGGGCTACAGAGGAACCCTGACTCCAACCAACCAACCAACCAACCAACCAACCAACCAACCAACCAACCAATCCCAGTGCTGTGGGAGGCTGAGGCAGGTGGACCTCTGTGAGTTCGAAGGCCAGTCTGGTCTACAAAGTGAGTCCAGGACAGCCAAGGCTACACAGAGAAACCCTGTCTAAAAACCGCCCCCTCCCCCTCACAAAAACCCAAATACATATAGGGTTTTACTTTGTGGCTCTGGCCTTGAACTTAGTATGTAGCGCAGAATGGCCTATGACCTTTTCCAAAGATCTATTTGTTTTTTGAGACAGGGTTTCTTGGTCTAGCCCCGACTGAGATTGAAGGTGTGTGAGGCCGCCGCCTGACTGGAAAATGTATTTTTCATGCCATCCTCTCTGATGGCGTGTCTGCACACACATGTGCACGTAATTGTAGGTTCCGGGGGGCAGTAAAACCTGATCCCCTGGAGCTCGAGCTCCAGACAGCTGTGAGCTGCCGGACCGGGAACTGAACCAGAGCCCTCTAGAGGAGCAGTAAGTGCTCGTAGCCACAGAGCCACCTCTCCAGCTCCTCTCCCAGACCTCTTAGTCTTAGCTTTTAGTAATGCTCTTTCTTTCTTGGACCCCCTAACATGCTCCTTTTTTTCATTTATTCATTTACCTGGGGGAGGGAGCTGAGACATACTCTCCACAGAGCGTATGTGGAGGTCAGTTTTTTCCTTCTACCACATGGGTCCAGAGATTAAACTCGGGTCTTTAGTCTTGGCGGTAAATACCTGTACTGCTGAGCCATCTTGGCAGCCACACACAGCAAGGGCCAACACCAGTGTTTCCATTTCCTAAGAAGGCTCTGAGCCCCTCACAGACACCAACCTGGTCGGTCTGTTCTACCAGGAAACCTGTCTTTTGTCTTCAGTCTGACTGGCTGTTCCTTCTTTCTGTGGTAAATACAGACACAAGAAGGATCAATGGCTCACCTGTCCTTCTTCCTCACAATATGAGCACTGCCTGTTCTGTGAGCTTTTATCTGCTTCTAAACAAAATTTGTGTCAAATTTCCAGGCTTTTTCCTTTAATTATGGATCTGTATGTTGGATAGGGCAGTGAGCAATGGGGAGAAGAGGTTGTGCAGGTGAGTGCAGTGCCTGTGGAGGCCAGATGAGGGCATCAGCTCCCTTGGCGCTGGAGGTACAGGTGGCTCCTCTACAAGAGCAGCTTGTGCTACCCACCGAGCCGTCTCCAGCACTTCCCCCTCCTCCCTACAGTCCGCTTGGCTTTGTCTCTGTCTGTCTTGGGAGTAGGGCCTTTTCTGAATTCTTTCAATTGCTGGGAGAGGGTGAAGACAAACTTGAATGAGAAGAGGTTCCTGGGGTTCAGGCAGTCCCATTCCCCATTTACACAGAGCGAACGTTTTCTCCGCTCAGGGTTCTCGTGATGTCTTATCTCTGAGGCAGTTCAAAGATCTGAACTCTGTGCCTTCTGTAACACCATGTCACTTACAGAAAGCAGAGAGGAGAGCCTGCTCTTTCTGCCCTAAGAAGTAGAAGGGTGAGGACGGTCAGGCATGAAAGCCTACTGAGCTTCTATCAGTGGCCAGTGGGCCTCACGGGTCTGAGTAGGGAAGCACAAAACATACCAGTGATTCTCTTGATAGTTTAATGTCATATTTGCAGCATAAATAAGGCACAGTATATGTCAGGGCAAAGGACGGAGGGAGAAGGCAAGGCTGGGCAATAACTGCTAAATAGCATGGGGGAAGGAAGAAGGGACGGTTAGGGAGAAGAGCTAAAAGCCCCTGCCTCGGCCCCGCCCCAGGAGATTGTGAGAGCCTGCTCACAGGGGTCATGCTGAATTGGGGGGAGGGAAAGGAGAGAAGACAGTTTTGTAACAAAACAGCCTATATCACTGTGTCCTCCCACCTGCCAGGGTCTACCACTGGAGCCTGGGGGCCCCAGACTGCGTTGAGCTCCTTAAGGATGGAGAGGTATTGCTACATGTCAAAAATCTATAGGCGAACAGAGATATATTCATAGATACACATGGCTTTCTTCTCAACAGATACTCTATCAGGACATGGCCGGCTCCACTGTGGGAGTGGAGGCTGATCTCCCTGCCTGCAAGAGACGTATGTGTGCACAGGGAGGAACCAGACAACTGGGCTCCTGCCGACTCTGTTGTCACTGCATAGCTCTGACTGGCTTCCAGCTCCCTATGTACAACAGGCTGGTCTCGGATGCAAGAAGAACCGCCTGCCTCTGCCTCCCAGTGCTGGGATCACAGGTGTGCAACACCACTCCTGGCCTTCTTGCTGGTTCTTAATGTCACCAAGAATGCAGAACCAGTGGCCTGCATGGAAATATGGTTAAGTCCTGCCCAGACCAATGCAGGAAAAAGTTTCAGAGCTGAGACTTAGAAGATGAACCTGGAATTTGAGATGAGTGACGTGGTGGTGACTGTTTTAGTAGAAGTTGGGGAAGAACTGGGGCAAATAATAAAAAAAAAAAAAAAGCTAATTCTAAGTAATCCTTGTCATCTCAGAGCTAGGATACTCCCAGCCAGTCCCCCAGGGACTGTCCTGCGTGAGTGTGCCAGCAGCACAGCCTGCTTGTTAAAGCTCACCCTCAGAGTGTCCAACCCAGGAGGCTGGGATGGCCAAGAGTGTGCATTTCTAGCAAGCTCCAGGTGATGGCGCTGCTGCTGCTGCTCTGGGGAGAACATGTTCTAAGAACCACTGCTCTAAGGTAAAGTCAATGAACTAGTGTTCACAGCCACTTAAGAGCCAACATTTTACTCCCCAGTATCTGGGTTAGAGCCTAGCAGCTCCAGATTAGGAAACAAAACAGCCAGTAGCTGAGCTAGAAACGTGCATCAACCAGATATAAGCTGCCTTAACCTGCCCTCCCCCACCAGCCTCTGCTCATCTTGTGGTAGGATTTACCTCAAAGTGACAGTGCAGAAGGTGGGAATGTGGGCCAACAAGTGCCGTGCTCAGCCCTGAGCACATGTGCATACACGAGTGCACAGGCAGAACCGAGTTTACAAGAAGAAGGTGTAGCGGGACTGTAGAAGGCAGGTCTAAAAGGGCTGAGGACCCTTACCTGTCCTTCCACCACACCTCCCACCCTGGCAAACTCGTCTAAAGAAAACAAAGCATAGGAGCAAAGAAAGGCTTGTGCAACACATCCAGAGGACAAGTGTGACTATGATTGTTTTAAAGAAATGTGCACTTTTGTGGCTACACTAGACAATATTCATGGAAATGTGATCTGAGAATGGGAAGACAGTATGGAACGGACGAACTGGGGAGAGCAATTTCAGGGGTTAGCACCTTTACAGAACCTCTCAGAAGCCAGAGGAAGAGGTTTTGTGTCTTTTGGTGTTCAGGCTGCAGATTACAGTGAAGCACTCCCTCTCTCAGGATGATGAGGAGACGGGAGAGGTAAGTCAAGAAAGGGGTCAAGAGCTACGGACTGGGAGAGGGAAGGCTCACCAGCACAGCTCCCCTTAGCATGTGCTCTGGGGTTCACAGCTGTGGGCAGGGCTGGAGAAAGGAGGCAGGCAGATTCGGGGTATTTAACCAGCAGGAAAGGAGCAGAGGAGCTGCATGTCCTTTCCAGTTCTCCCTGGGTGTGGGAGGCTTCTGAGTCTTTGTGGCTCTGAGCACTGTGTTATAAGGAGTGGGTGGCAAGAGCACAGACAAGGCCTCACCCGCTCAGAATGCCCTAAAACATCACACTCTCAGCTCTGAAGAAGGGCTCAGTGAACCGTGGAAAACAGAACAGTTGGGAAGAGTTAAAACTGGAGGGCACATCCGCCCCAACAGAGGCACGAAACACCACAGAGAAACACAAAAGAGTGTGAGAAAACAACCCACCAGGACACATGCAAACCTCTCCTTCATGGAAACCAAAAGTACTGTGAGGTCTGGGAAAGAATTCAGCCTCATTTTAAAAAAAGGATAATGATCGTACAGAAGTCTCAAATGCACAAGTGAACTAAGGAGCCTCAAAAGCGAACAAAACAGTGGGTAAGTTGGAGGAGAAAGCCGGAAATCTGGAGGGACCTTCTAGTGAGGGCATTCAAACATGGAAAAGGAACCAAACAGAAATGAACATGAAAGAAACAATCTAGTGAAAAACCTTCCCCAAGAGATAGAATCATGCAGTTTTGTGGTGGAGGACGAAGTCAGGACAGTAATATACATACATACATACATACATGTATGTATATTAAAGAATATGACTAGTATTTCAAAGACATTTGGGATATACTCAAAAGACCAGACAAACTTCAGAACCCATGGGGCAGAAGAAGGACCTGAGATAAATTCAAAAGGAATTAGTCAAATTGTTTAATGAAATTATACCACAAAATTTCTCCAATCTAGAGACAGAAATTGATATCCAAATACAAGAAGCATTTAGAACCCCAAATAGTCATGACCGGAGACCCCGCTGTGACACATCACAGTCAGAGTTGTCAAGAAGGGTTTGCTGACACCCCCTGTGGTGTCTGGAAGGCAAAGGTCAGGGCTGTGAGCGCAGGCAGCCCATGCATGTGCCAGCCCTGACCACAGAGAAGCTTCGGTGTGGCGGCTGCTCACCCACTCCTGGGGCATCTGCGGTTGGCCTGCCCTTCCCTCATCTCAGTGCTGCTCTCTGCTGTGCTTCTGGTGGGGCCAATCCTAACTTCCTGCTATGGAAACAAAGACTCAAGAGAAGCAGACACGAGGGTAAAAAAAGTGAAAAAGACCTTCCACATATACTAGACATGCGACACAGGACAGAATGGTAGAGTACACAGGAAGTGACTCAAAACACTTGACTGATGGGGAAGAAAAATAGCCAAGGGTCTATGAAGGCTCCTCAGGAGCCATAAACTCATACTTTAGTACTAGTGGGAAGTCAAGACAATTACAAAAAGAGGAAGGGGAGGAGGGGGAAGAACAAAATTTATAAACTAGAAAAAAAAAAAAAATCCCAGGAAGCAGCCATCTAAGTCTGTGGCTCAAACTATGGCTGTGCGTTTCTGAAGCCAAGAGAAACCCTGGAGATGGTAACCTGCCCCTGACCATCTGCTGTGACATTTGCCAGTCTTGTCATGTCAGGGGCTGCTCCTGCCGAGCCCCCGTGTGGTGAACCACAGAACCATCTCCTGGCTCTTGCTGGGTATGGCCTACTCAGCACTGACTCTACAGAGCAGGAGGAAGTTTACATAAAACGGGGCAGAGCACGCTGCTGGATGGGCTCACTCGTCTGCACGCTGAGCAGTCAGTCATATGAGGTACAACATCTGTTCATTCCTCTATGACAGTGAATTTCGGAAGACAAAATAAAAAAGAAGCAGTTATTCTGTACACTTAAGATGGAGACAGAGAAGGGGACTCTTGACTAGAGCAGATGGTAGGAAGGTGGCTCTGGGACAACAGGGAAGATTCTCTATTCAAGAGCTATTAAATCTGACCTATCTAACCACAGGCCTCTAGCTCTGGACGAGCCTACATAGCTCAGAGCCAAGGAAAGATGAGGAAGGGGTGTGTGTGTTTCTCTCCCTGTAACCCATCAAATAAGAGCAGCCATGAGCCACAGTCAGCAATCTCAGACAGGCCATATCCTGAGCACTCTGTGGAGATTATACGCTTTCCTCTCCTCTCTCCACTGTCTTATACTCAAAAGTCACGTATGACCTCGACCGCGATGCTTCAGAGCGCTGGACAAGCACTATGTTTGCGGGGCTAAGAATTAAAACAAGTTCAAAGAAATTTCAGGACTAGAGACACCTAGTGGCTATGCTGGAACCTGGTGAGAAAGAGAGGAGGGAGTAGGGTGAGGGACACTAGTGGGTACGAGACGTACACCTCAGACAAGAAGGGAGGCTGGGAGTTGCAGGACAAACAGAATGAGACAGCTCCAGTTTGACAATCATAGGAGGGCTGAGCTGAAGAAGTTACTTAGGAACAGGCAGTGATGTGGAACAGGAGAGGCAGAAGCACAGAGATGGCCAAAGATGACAGTCTATAGACTTTGGCCAGTAAACTCTTGTAAAACATAAAGGACTCAGTTAACCCAGTCACCTGGTAGAATGAGTTTTAAACTCACTGTTCCTGTCCGCCCTGGTGCGTAAACTGGAGGGGAGGGAAGGAGAGGGGGAAGCCCAGCTAGATCCCGGGCTCTCTCCGTTTTCACTGCCACTAACAATAAGGCCACAGATGAGGTTCCCAGAGCCTAGTGGGGAGGTAGGAAAGGCCCCACCACTAGACTTAGGAAAGTCAAGAGACAAAATGAGGTACCCAATAGATTTGGAAATGAAAAATGATTCAAACTCTCAGAGTTTTGCTTTTTTTTTTTTTTGTTTGTGTTTGTTTTGGTAGCAGATAGGAGTAAAGAATGAAGCACACGGATGGGGTGGGAAATACTGCTACTTCACACAGCAAATGCGTTACACTCTCAGTAAGTGAATGTCTTCACTGCTGGTTAGGAAGAGGGAGAGAGATAAATAAGCAGCTGTGGGAAGACAAAGTCCTGAGTACATGGGGTGGCCGGGGACGGGGCAGCAAGTAACATGCTATCGAATCTAGTCTCCCTCTATCTGGCCGGAAGCGGCATGCTGGCAAGAAATGAGAAGGCAACGGCCACAGCTCAATGGGAGGAGAGGACACTGAGCGACCCAAACCTACAGGTGCAGGCTTAGTGTTAAGAGGCAGGCGCACATGCATCGGGCTAGGGACGACTGACCGGACCCTGTGGAAAAGCCTTTGGCTGTAGGTATATAAAACCCCACCCTTACGGGATGATCTAGATGGCTTTGGGGCCAGAAGCCCCTAGTACAGGTGTCAAGCGTACACGATCACGTGGCTAAGGAGAAAAGCCCCACGTCTGTCTGTACTCACAAAACACAATCTCCTCCTCCCCCACATGCCAGTTCCAAGGCAGACGGGAGGCTCTCATGGCTCAGGCGGGCGAGCTCTGGCTGGGGACCTCTCTGTCACGGGAGGCATCATCTGCCCGCAGACTGTGACTGTGGGGTCATGATCACATGTGACTGTATGGGCATGCTCAGTTCTGTCCTTTGGCTGGCCATCTGAGTGAGGACTGAGGTGGCCACAGCTTCAGCTGCAGATCGGACACTGAGGCCATTGCTAGGGGCAGTTGCCGAACTGTGCTGAATCACTGGGGCCGGAGAACCGGTGGGCTCTGAGCTTTCCTTGGGACTTTCTGCCAGGAAGGAGGGCAAAGAGCAGAGAGCAAGTGGTTAGAAAACAGTACAGAGGAACAGAAAGGATTCTCTTTTGTCATAATTACAAAGAATACAAAGGAACATGAATCTTATCTTTCTTTTTGGAGAAAACTCCAGAATCCTGACCTCAAGTCATGAATTCATTCTTTCTTTCCTTTACATTTTAGTTTTTTTGAGACAGGGTTTCTCTGTGTAACCTTGGCTGTCCTGGACTCCCTTCGTAGATCAGGCAGGTTTCAAACTCACAGAGATCCACCTACCTCTGCCTCCTGAGTGCTGGGGTTACAGGCGTGCCCACCACTGTGAGGCTTCTCTTCCATGGCTTTAAAAAAAACCCTACATTTATTTTGTGTCTATGCATGTATATATGTATGTATGGACACATATGTATGGACACATACCAAAGCATGCATGTGGAGATTAGTCAGCAACTTTCAGTATCTGTTCTCTCTCCACCATGTGGGCCCGTGCAATCCAACTCCGGTCATCAGGCTAAGCATCAAGTACCTTTACCTGCTGAGCCAGCCCACCATTCTCAAAAGCAAATTAAAATACATTCCTTAACCTGCTCTTATTAACTCTGAAAGGAATGAAATCATCCATTTAAGAAGTGTTCCTTTGGCATGTAGCTGCACTGTATGTCAACCCATTAAGAACCAAGTCACGGTCAGATGACGCTGTGACAGGCTGATATCCAGTCAACATGTGAAAGGGCAGGGAGGTGTGCAGAGCCCTATCAAATAGCCACACAATGACGATGGTGAGAGAGTTACGGGCTACAGCAGCCTACCTAAACCGACAGTGACGATGGTG